TGATGACCGCGACTGTACCTGCTATAGCATCTACTTTTAACGGTCATACACATCGTGGGGTGATAAGGCCTGGAACAGCCTTGTTTAAGCATGGGGCTAACCATGGTGATTTGTTCCTTGATCCATGGTCACTGGCAATTCTGCTTCCTGGTACGTGGGGTCCTGAGACAAAGATGTTTCTAGATATAGCCAATACGTTGCAGAAGCCTTCGAGGGGACAGTCAGATGCTTCAATTGTACTGTCCCTACTACTAGCAACTCTCCAGACATTCACATACGAAATATCATATCGCTCCTGAAATGGCCTTTCAGGTACAGGCCCTACAATATCATGGCATGAAATCTCCTCAAGCCCAGCAATGCCCACCGCCACACATTAAAATCCAAGCTCCATGTGAAAAGCGCACGACATATCGAACCTCTGTTCCAAACGCATCTTTGCGCCAGGAACCGGAAGTAGTAGACTGTCCGGTTTGTTGCCAGCGAGAGGTGACCAGCATTACTCACGAGACTGTTGCTAGTACATAGTAAGGACTAATGGACAGCATACGCGATTCATCCTTTGGTGGCTGACTGTACTTGGATAGTATGTGGGCGTGTTTCCTGTGCAATTTTCTCTGTATCGGTTTTCTGCCGTACCTCATGGATAATTTCAAGGACGTTCAGCATCACTGTGGAAATGTGAGTATTAGACCTTGGGCTGCCAATACCTATCCTTGCTGACATCTCTCCAGTGTGGGGCCCTTCTTGGGACTTGGGATCGCCGTGGGACAACTCTGGTACATCATATATAACCATCAGCACAAAAAATCTATTCTATGCGATCTGGGTGGTGATATTGTAATGCGATTAGAGAAAGACACATACCAGGGCACGCTTTACTGAGTCGAATTGCATACTTCTGTGAACATGACAACATACCTAATCCTCAGCGAATTGTCGTTGCATATTCCAAACCACTTCATAGTATGAGGGCCTTAGTCACCGTGGTCCTAAGGGGAGTGTCGCCTATCCCAGTGGACTACGGATGCTCAGCAATCAATAGGTTCGGCTTCATTGGATGGGAACATCCCGGGAGCCTATACATAGCGGTTAGGTGCACGGCCCTCCTACGTTCAATTTCCTTCTCGGGGATCCAAACACTCTACTGACTAATAGAAGTTTCGGGACGTATTCGAGTTGTCAAAATACAATGATGGACAGTAAGAGACGTGGATTGCGCGATACCCGCAATTATCGGACCTATAAACACTAGTGCATTGATAACAGATAAGCAGTACCTTCGAAATCTACATCAAGCCCAGATACCCAATACTCTCCAAGATATCCTCTAATCCATTCTCATTGTTACTGGTTGCCTCTGCTAAGCCCTTCACTGGAGAGAGAGGAAACGCGCCGGGGATCACAGGAAATAGGACACAACCTGCGGGGGTGGGCATCGTCTCCATAGGGGTATAGTAGGTCTCATTCGGTGCAGACTGCGATGCGGTTAGGATAGCCAATTGCGGTTTTAAGGATGGTCTTTCACTCCATGAGCGTCCGATTGGAGTTGGAGTGGGTGGGTCATCCTAGTCATCCTCGGTAGTCCTAGGGGAAGAGTTTAAAGGGGAGAGTCCAGGCACTGATTACACGTCATCGTCAATATTAGAATCATTAGCCGTCATGATCGCGGTACTGGTGGTGGATCTATCTGGCGTCTTTGGCGTGGAGTACGAGTCGTGTTGATCCCACGTTTACACCCACCCCTGCGCCCATTTGTACTACCTATCGGGGTCGTTAGAGACTCTAGCAAGCGGGAGAGCCAGCTGCGCTCGCTTCTCGCGACTCTAAAGATGGTGTGAGAGTTAATACTAGACTTTAACACGAGTGACTATTTCCTCGAGACCTGCTTTGAACCACTTGATATGAGTCTTTCCGCACTTAAGGCAGGCATGCTGGTATTAGTGATGAGAAAACTCTAGCTGTATAGCCTTTTCAAAAACCTCTGCGTTTGGGCAGTGGAAAGACTAGCGCTGCGTTAGGAGTGGATAGTACTTATCATGCTAACTTACTCTCTATGAGAGATTCTAAGTGCGCCCAAGCTTGCACATGCCCACTACTCTTTCATATTCAAACACGTATAAGTGATCTCGCTCACCATTCTAATCATGGCTATTAAATTTCTAGCCGATTCATTGGTCGATGAGCTGATTAATCTCGTGAGTGAGCAGGGTGTCAACATTATATGTCTAATAAGACGTGAATATGAACTGGGCGCGTTCCACGCTGTCCTCTAACGCCATATCGCCATTGCCTGACGGTGTATTTGGCCGATTAGTCTCATCGTCCTCTGCCTCTAGCTCGTCCTTCTATTGCTCCACGGCTGCTTCGATGACTCCAGCTAACCTGCGCTGAAACCCGTAGATTGTAAGCGAGGCCAGTTCTGCTAACATGTCTGCAATACTATCCCCGTCTAGAGCCTGTCTTAGGCTTTTTTATGCAGTTCCCTGCTCCAAGCAATGGCGCGTTTCCCGCCTCTGGGCACTTGTGACCTGCAGCGCAGCCCATCCTTCTTGTGGGCGGCACACTTGCCAGTGTACTCGGGATGCGGGTGTGAGAGCGCGCGAAATGCAACGAAACGTAGTGATTCTACGGGCATACTTAGTAACGTCTAGCTGAGCAGCGTCAATCTCAATTCATGGGCGATCTTTGATTTTTGAGAACCAGGGGTGTGGGGTTGCATTGCTCATAAGCTGACACTCAGCCACAAAAGCAACTAGGTCAAAGCGCGCAGGGATGTATTCCCCCAGAGCCATACAGATTTCCAACCGTCCTGCATATTGACCAGGACCCGGCACAGGGTAGTAACGCTATAGCTCTGAATATCCAATGCTGATGTAGTGGTTGTCTCAGCATTGCCCTGCGGTCCTACAGCAATGAACTGTTGTCGTACAGTAACCTATACAGTACCTTTTCAACAGGTGCCCACGATAACGGACCTCTCTCCATTCCATGTTCCGATGGTCATCGCTGGCTCAGGTGCTCAATTAATCGGAATCTTAATCTTAGTCTCATCATGTCCGTCATAAAAATTTTGCTTAAGTTTTCCCTTGCTCTATAGCTCCCAACTGTTCAGGTCCATTTTATCGCGCTCAGCCCCCAAGACACCAGGGAAGCCTTGCGCCCAGAGCCAGCGAGTCAGAAAGGCCTTATCAGTTCAGCTAAAAGGATTGCTACCCCAGCGCCTGTGAGTCTCACTTCCAGTTTTCAGAGCTCCAATTGGCTGCCACACAGGAACAGTCAGCGGCCCGTCTTAGCAGGCTAGATACACCAAGAGGATTTAAGCCTAGCTCTCAAGGGGACTAGGGCGGACTGACCAAGGTCGTTCAATCTGCTCACAAGGACAGTTTTCAGCCCCACGTCAGTCAGACAACAGTGGCAGCCCCACGTCAGTCAGACAACAGTGGCAGTTCATTGGCCGCCCAATATATGCCATGCGTCCGTCCCTGCAGCCCGTCCTCCCCCAAAAATCAATAACAAATTCCGTGATTGCGGATTCAGCCTTGGATATTAAGCGTCGCGCTCATTGTCTTGGTTTTAGAGTACTTATCATGGCTTTGTAGAACCATCACCACAAGGCTTCTTATCACGGCGGTCTGTAGCACTGTTTGTTGAGATGCGAGTCCAAAGGTCAAAGAGTAGAAGAGAGCAATAAGAGTAGAGCTGGCATTAGTCTAAAAAGTAGGCCGAGCTCCCTCACCCTCCAAGCAAGATATTTGCACTTAAGTGCGGCGGCTGTCTCGCTGCCATGCAAGGGCTCGTTCATGCTAGGCTATGCACAAGTCATGTATTCAAAAGTACCATACCTCGCACGCAAGGGGGTCTATGTGCACTGGCTAGAATTAGTACGTGACGCAGAAGACAGTATGGAATACGGAATACCAGATTCTTGGCCAATTCTCACCCCATGGAGCGCGGTAGATCCGGCCTCGGTAGTGGTGCTCTATCGGGGCCATGGAGACCAGATCCCGAAGCTTGCCCAGTTACCTTGGATGCTAGACAGCGGAGTTCTATATCATTCGCTCTCGATCCCTGTCAGGGGCGGTGTCCAAGTCCACGTGGATCCCGCTGCCAGCTTCATACTATCCGCCACGAATTCTAGCAGCATCGCCGCAGGCACCCTAATAAATGCCACCTTTAATGAGACCCCCTTCGACCTCCAAACCAGATATATTACGTCGTACTTCCCACGCGACACCACAATGGCCATCTACGCCGCCCTCAACATGACAACCCCCGCCGCGACCACGGGTACTATCTGGCTCCGGAAATCCCCTGCTGCGCCGGGTGTCTTACCTGCCGTTGCGGGCGCTGTCTTGTTTGGGTTGGTTCAGATTTGTGGTACTGTGTATATTAGAATTCTCTTGTACATATAGTAAATTTGTGAAGGGCGTGCCTGCTCTTTAAATGTATGTACACATTGGCCGCTGTATTCAAATAAAAGGCTGAAAAACATGGCGCAACTTTGCGATTAAGATGTGTCGCGCCCAAAGTCTATATTCACGCCCGCACATCATAGTACAGGAAATCCCATAATACTGTGCTCGGCAAATGAGCTGACCCTTTTGGATATTCGAGTTTTCTATTACCCCGTATGGCACCAACCAACGAGTCCAACACCCTACTGCACTTTCAAAAAGAAGCAAAATAGCAATAATCTGGTACGTTGCGGATCTAGGTAAATTTATTGTATACTTCAGGCAAAGACAACTAGCTAGAACTTATCCACCCTGTACTCAATGATGATATAGAGCCATCAACCATAACCTTCCCATTTACGGTTGGAATGCCAAGAGCCCAGTCCCCCACCGGCCTCGAGACCATATCTTGCAACAGAGTATGCCTATGGCTCAAAATCTCGGTAGCCTTAAATGCACCCTTAGCGGGAGATTCCGCCCAAGACAGAGCTGGCGCTACGGCTGTGTCTGGATGCGAGATAATAACCGAGGTCAGGGTGGCGATTAGGTTCTTGCCTGCTCTCCAAAGGGGAACTTCGTGTTCAGTTGTGGCAGGCTCAAGCGGACGGCGCTGGCCTTTGTATCCGGCGGGCTCGGTTGCCCTTTGTTCTTCAGCACTGCCGACGCCGTGCGTGTCATTATGAACCACTCATTGGGAAATTCGTTCTTGACGTCGATGAGCGCGTACATAGTTGAGCCCTCGACTCCAGCTAGCTTCTTCTTGACGGCGGAGATCGCTGTGTTCCGCAGTGTGGCGCCGCCGTCAACGGCCGTATACCGGGCTTGCATCACGACGTCACTAATCGTATGGTAGTCGAATTGCCGCAATGGCCTCATAAGACAACTGAAAGAGACATGAATCTTCAAAGTGTTATAATAGCAGGAATACCTGCATGATCCTCGGAAATCGGTGGTTACTGGGTAAGAACTATTTATGTCCTGAGTAGGACGGAAGCTCGTAGGGCTATACTGAGGTCAGGACCTCACTAGCGGTCACATACAGTCGAGAGACAGAAGGGCAAGATGACGCTGTGTAAAAAAACGACTACCTTTGTAACGATTTCGTTATTGATTCCTTTGCGTAACGACTCCTGTCTCTTCATCGATAAATAAATTGGAGTGGGAGTATCCGGATTGACCAGGGCCAGACACAAGGCTCATAACCATTCCAGCGGCCTGAGCTCTGAGGAAACTTTGCCATGCAAGTTTTGGGTCAGACGCGCACTCTACTGGCGATAAACTTCTCCCAGGGTATTTGTCTTGTTCAATTTCTGCAGCAGACCTTTGCGCATGCCAGCCTAGGAAGCGAGAATCTTCCTCAAGATCCCCAAATTCAAATTCCATGATGGTGAGATGTCCGTTCTCATTTCCAATGGCAACCATGTTGCCATGGACACTTGTCGATCTCGGCACATAGCTTGTTGGCTGAATTTCGGGGGGGAGGCAGAGCATCCCTGTCCCAGTCGACGGGAGAATCCATCTGCCATTCTTTGAGATGAATATCTTTTGGCCTGTCTTTGTAGAGGTCTTGACAGTTAGGGTGCGATTGGCAGATAATTCCCACGCGGCTGTGAACAATACCCCGTCTTCGAAAAGGATTAGCTTCTCGTCAGCAGAGAAGGCCACTTGGCCTACCTCTTGTTCTGCGGTGCACACCCACTTCTTCTTGAAAGTAAGTGACCTGCCGTCTCTTAGTTCCACCTGCTTAACATGATCTTTGCTTCTTGCGACAGCAAGCTTGCTGCCGTCTTTTGAGAATTTCACGCTGATCACTCCCGTTTCCCATCCTAGTCTTTTCATCACAAGACCTTGGCCAGTTCTGGCGTCTAATAGTTGGAGTGCAAGCCCATCTGTCGTCGTACACAATAGAATCATTGTCCCATCACTTGAGAAACTTGCGGGGCGCATAGCCCTGCCCTCAAGCTTGGTTGAATATGCGAGACGGAATCGGCCTGATCGAATGTGCCACACTGCGAGGAGGTCCTCCGAGCCGACAAAAAACTTATCAGACCTGGGGGAAAAGCCCATCGATATAGCCTCCCCCATTTCCATTTTATGCGTCACTTTTCTATTGGAAACATCCCATATCAGAACGCCGCCGCCATGCTCCGAACGCGATGCGACCATAGTACCGCAAGGTGAAAAGACCACATATTTGATACTCCCCTTGTAAAAATTGGCATGAGGGCTGTTGGAAAATTCCGCTCGTAGATCACAGATCTTAAGCCGCGACTTAGTTTTTATGGCAAGTTTATGCCCATCCGGTGAGAATAACAATTTTTTACAATCAACATTCTCCAGGATGGGCTCAACTCGGTCAGTATCCAAGTCCCACAAGCATGCCCTGAGGCTAGACCCAAACGCTATCATGTTGCCGTCGGGTGAGAAAGCCAAGCACGAGATACGATCACTTTGACCTTTTAGAGTCTTGTAGTCCCCGTCTCCATTCAACTGTACCACTCGTACTCGCTGTGTCACCAAACACAACAACGCAAGCTTCTCCCCATTGGGTGAGATGGCAAAATCACCCACACTCCGAAGATCAGAAAAGACATGGGAGAAGATAATTTGCTTTGCATCTTCCGGCCTCCATACCTCTAACTCAACCGAAGTGATGTCGTATCCAACGCGGATTACCCCAGCCGGGGCGGGCTCATCATTTTTGGCGAGTCTCTCACCGGCAAATGCCATTCGCCTTCCGTCTTTGGACAGTAGAACCCGACTATTGTGCCCCATGGGCTCAGAGAAATCGGACTGAAATGCTTCTTCCGTGTCTATGTTGTAGACACAAGAACGAATGCGTACCCCTCCCGGACTAATAGGAGATTCTTCCCTTATAAGAATCAGCCTAGACCTATCCAGTGCGACTGACTCGAGGCTTATACGCTTGCCAGAGTATTCCATTGCCAAATCCGTTATCTGCCCGGTATTCAAGTTTAAAATTGCTGTTTGGTCTTTTGCAACCATGATCACTTCATGATCGGACAGAAACTCCACACGTCCTGAGCTCTCGGTAGATGGTGTTCTTATCTGTTGACTAGATGTAACATCCCAGACCAGACTGCCACACGCAAGCTTAGTACCATCTGGCGAAAAGGCTGGTGCGTGGTAGGACAGGAGAGAGGGTGTGTCGAAAGTTTGCTCCAGGGGACTCCAATCATCTGTTGTATTCGGTGGCAGAACGACCCAGTCGGGCACGCCTTTTCCAAATGTATTTCGCAAGAGACAGTTGCTTGGGCAAAACATAAGTGCTGAAGAATATGTCTGCAAAGGGGCTTCTTCTATGGTCGAGAAATTATAGAGTAGAAAACGCCTTGCGTCGAGTAAAAAAGCTGAAAGCCGGCCTCCGTTAGTTTCCTATATGAGCAATTTTATCAGTTTTCATCATAGGCAGACTTTCATGGCTTCAATCTCGACTTACCGAAACCGCTAGGCCAAGTAGCGCACCAATGTATGCAGTACCCTTGGAAAGCGTTCCCAGAAGGCTTAGGGCTTCAACCCAGTGGAGAAAGTGTGTCTTCAGAAATTGATGAACGAAGTCACCATCACGGATCGAGCCATCCCCCTTGACCAAGTGGTCTACCCAGTAGATGCAGGCGTAATGAAGATCTCCCGGTATGTATTTTTCTATTACTCCAGGATCAACCTCCTTGGATAGAAAGCCAGGTGCATTGAGCTTGCAGATATCTTGCGTAAGTCCAGGTGCTGCATTCATGCGTTCAAGACATTGATTTGCCAGACAGAGGTGCCTTTTCTTTTGATCGATCCAGAAGGGAGTTTTTGCACGCGTTCTGTTGTCCGTAAGGAAGTCTCGGAATGAGAGATGGAGGAGCCGAATAGATGAATTGTCACGTGGAATCTGTAGGACAGAGTGAAGGAAGACCAGCTGGAGGTCAATCTCACCAGGCCGCAGATTGAGCAATCCAGTGAGATGGTGCGCAGATAACGGCTGTAAAAGTAAGATAATTGCCCCGATAATGTTTCGAAACCGCCGCACCACTATATCCCGTTCGTCGTCTGTGTCGTCGTCTCCTATCAGTTGGTCGAGGACCGGCATATACGTTTTGTAAAGTGTGTGGCTAGCAGTACGGTACTTCAAGATGGTGGCCAGTCGGTCGTCTGGATCAAATTTGGGGTCGCTTAAGAAGCGGCAGGTGGTAGCAGCGAAGATGAAAAGAGGAGTAGCCATGTCCACAAGGCTTGAGATTTTTTGCTTCCCCGGCCAGTTTAAAGGAAGATGCCGCCGGGAGGAGGGAATTAACCTGTTGTGGCTTTCTCGGATTTCCTTTAGTTCGTGGGTCAGGAAAGTACGGAGGTCACTCCTGGTTACCTCTTCTGGGATGTTTTGAAGCACTGTATCTTGATAAGCGCTCTTTGGTAATCTCCCAAAGCTGTCAAGCACCTGAAAATCTGGTCTGCTAGTCACAAAAAAACGCAGGCTTGCCTTTGTTACCGAAGTCTCGCGAAGAATCTGTAAAATAGCTCCTATTTCCCTACTCTCGCATTCGTCCAACGCATCAAGGACGATAATCCTTGGCTTGTCGAAGGAAGTTTCATCGTGCACTTGTAGGATAGGCTGAAGAATAAGGGTATTAAACTGTTCGCTTAATACTTTATCAGCAATAGAAGGATTATCTTCCACGGCCTTTTGAATATATTTCCCAGTTTCTGGAATACTGGACGCGAGTTGCGTTGCAATAGTTGTGAACAGGCCTGTTGCATCCCCACGACCCACTTCGCCTTTCTTGAAGAAGAAGCTGGCTGCAAGCTGACCTTGGCCATGGAAGGAATGGGCCAGCGTCCTAGAGATAGTGGATTTGCCGGTCCCGGCACTGCCACTGAGCCAAAATATTGTCTTACCCTCAAGGTCACTAGCCCAGTTTATGACATCCCGCAGCAACTGAACTCGAGTTTGAGGATGACAGCGCGAACGAGGCTCCTTGCTATGTGAATCATACGCAGCTCCGCTTACAGTCGGAAGCCCGTGTACGTGGACCCTCTTCACGAGCGAAGTGCTTGAGAAAGTGTCAGTGATTCAAACTTATGTTACGTCGAGAATGCCTTTCATACATTTGATTTTGCACGACAGAGAGTTCTAATGGATCAGATAATCAGATCATTGTAATGTAATATCAGAGAGTAACTAACCCGAAAGTATATCAACAGCAAGAGGGCCGCGGATGACATCTTGCACTGGAATTGCTTGAAGAAGTTCCTTCGAACACGCAGCTGCAGCCGCTGATGCGTACCGTCGCCAACCCTCAGCGCCCTTCCGATGAGAATCCGCGTAGTTACATATCCCGCGAATGATAACACAGGGAAAGTTATCCATCAGGCCGGCTGCTTCGGTCTCGACACAGATAGCACCGTATTCTTCCGCGAGTTGGTCACGTATCAAGCTGTCCTCAACGATTGTATTGCTAGATGCAATAATCCCATAATGGATATAAGGTATAGTTTCCCTGGGTGGTCGTTGCTTCGCCTTTCGTCGACATTTCTTGCACGATGTATCAGCCTCATCCTGATGGGGATAATCTGCAGAGAACAGCCTGTCCTTCTCAGTGCCTGGATAGGAGTATGTATCCACTAGTCTTGGATATTTGGTGTGCATCTGAGAAAGGTACTCCGAAATGTGGCTACCGCGAAGATCGTGTGTCGCCCTAACCTCGGTAATTGCAGTCAAAAGCGCAGTTGGAGGCTTGTTGAGCGATCCAGTCCGTATAAAACCATCAGTTACAGCCTTTCCCATATCGAACTGCACAACCCCGCCAAATGTCTTTCCTGGTATGCTGACTGCGACATCGCCGAGCCTTATATCATATTCATCGCTTGGAATTCCACCACCAGTTCCCACCAGAACACCAATTCGGATTTCGTGGAAACTGGAAAGCAATTTTGACGCAGTTGCAGCCGCAGAGGTCATGCCCTTCACACCTTCAGGGAGACACGCGATCACTACATTGTGATGTCCGATCTTGCCAAGGATATAACTGTTGTCGTCTGAGGAATCTCTGGTCTGCGGCCTCCCATGCTCCTCGTCAAGCATAGCGTGAGCGGCCACTCTATTGACATAATCGGCACAAATCCACCCGATCGTGTACGCGGCATTCCCGAGGATCGATGTCATAACTGGTTCCCAAGGATCAATACCGGTGTGGTGTGGCGATATGGTGTAATTTAGATTGCTGGTAGGGTCGTAAAGGTAAGAACTTCAGGGGGGCGAGAGAAAGATGAACGGGAAGGAACGCGCAGCTCCTACTCTGAGGCTAGACTAGTCACCTGCTTGTTAGGATCGCGCTATCATAATCCCTGTTGCGCCAAGACTGAAAGTGTCTCGAGCGAATGTGGCCAACCTAATCCAGGCGCATGTTGAATCGAATTGAACCACATTTAGAGCTAAAATCACCATAGGGAGTTCTGGGCGATCTTGGCCTCTTCCATAGGATGGAGCTTGCGCGAATTCTGTGTACAAGAGGCGCGCGTCGTCCTGCTCTGCTCGCTAAATAAAAGAGGTCTGGATAGACTCTGCGGCGCTATTTAGCAATTTTCCACCCGCAGATACTCCTTTTCTTTATCACATCCTGTCGCTTTGTGATAGACGGATTTCGAGAAGCCAGAAGAAACGGGAAGTCGCCTCGAGAGATGAGAGACAGCCTAGAAAATCGTCATCCCAGAGGTGAGAGGTCCCTCAGATCAGGGCAATCAGAGGGCGGAGGACGAGGCGTCGTCAGCTATGGCTTTTCTACGTTTTCTGGTGTTGTTTCTGTCTTTCCAGTACTACGGGGTGGGTTTTCAGATAATTCAAGATGGCCCCGCCCGAAAGGCTACAACCAACGCCCCTTTGGAGACGGTAGCAGAATATACGGAAAACAACAACTTCAGCGCGGAACAAATTTTTGGAATTCCTCCATGAAACCACGCAAGAGGAGTGCTGAATACCAGATGTCGGTCAACTATCAATTCACGAATCGTTTTACTCTTTTAGCTTGAATAGGGTCCTCACGATGAAGCTTCGAGGCAAATGGGTGGCGAGAGGGAATTCTCATTATTACGAGCAAGAGTACGACGGACTGAAATCCCGAGCATCGTCGATTCACAGCTTTATCTGTTAAGGAAGCCACCCTTGCTCTTGGCTATAGTGATGGAAGGGTTTCGCTTATAGGATTTCATATACTATAAATTGAATCCACCTTTGCCAAGAAACGTGCCTTCCGCGACGACGACCAGTGCGCGTGAGGCGCGCGGGAGATGGTTGTCCATGTGTTAGTGGACTGGCCGAGGCTACAAGGGCTACGAATGAAATTGAGGAGAGAGGTTAGGGACGCGTTTAATAGCGTATCAAGTCTGCTGGGAGTCTCAAACCAAGGTAGGAAAGGTAATCCAGACATCATCTCGCGGGCCAAAACGGTCAATGCCGTGCTGGACTTGGCTGAGGCGTCACAACAGTTTCGCAGTCGTGCGCCACGGGGCAGCCTAACAATGAGAACGGCAATTAGGCCACGACAGGCCGGGACGAGGCTCTAGGTTCGTTTACAGGAAGTGGAAGACTCTAAATGTACATAATCAGAGATATATAGTTGTGGTAGCCTGCATATCGCTTTCGCAGTTGAGACACTGGATTGAGGTACAAGTGTGATAATATTGGTATATATGAGAATATCCAGCTATTTATACCCTCAGCAGTCTATCCCCCTACTGCCTAGCGGAGTGGCTGCCTAACAGGCAGCCACTCCTACCAGCCTATATACATCACGTGACCTGGGATCCAACTTTGGCGAGGGGTCAGGGTAAATGAAAGCATCATCATCATCATCATCGACGGTAGGCACAGATTGAATTGGCTATACTTAGCGCAGCAAGAGTGTGTTAAACTCATGTCTATTTCAAGATTTGCACTTTTTTTGAGGGCCTTAAGATCTTCCGTTTCTATATCCAGCCCGTGGTTTGATGAATCTAATCTAATTGTTTCCAGCCAAGGTTGTTGAACGGAGATTGAACAAACCCTCAAAAGCTGGTCTTCTTTGAAATGGAAAAAGAACAGGGCAGAAAGCACGGCTTTCTCTTTAAAGCCACTTCGAAATGTACTTCTTCCAGCAAGCAACGCCAGGAGTGATTACGGCTCGGGACTGCTTTCTTTTGGAAAAATTAGTGAAACGCTGAAGCTTCACTTCCATACTGCAGCGCTTCAGTGTCTTAGCGTTCCAGCCCTCAGCTAAATAGTTCTACTTCCTTTAGGTACTGTACAGTACCGCCAAATCACTCTCCAGTCAATGATGAGTCGCGAGATCGATGGGAACAATTACATTAGATTTTTGCCAAGGACGGTTTTCCACTGAAACCACGTGACTGCTACCGTTTCCAAGCAGCAACCGCAAGAGCACGCCGCAGGAATGACATCTGAAGAACTCAAATCTCATCAACAGTAAGACCCCTACCTCTATTTTCGTGGATGCCAGGTCAACGCCGGCATGGACAACATTGATTGAAGGCTGCTGAGGAGACTTTAACGCCCTCCGTCAGCGCAGCGTTGACGCCTGTTGTTTTGCCTTAGCCTAACCGTAAAAGGGAAGGCATGCCCGGCAATGTCAAGCTGTGACCGCCTTCTGATGTTGCGGCAATTTCCTAGGAAATCGACGCGACCGGAGCTGGGCTTCGGGTCACCACTTGACTCTACTGTGCGACGACACGCCTCGAGGGAGCGCTGAGCAAGGATATTTCTATACGACTAAGTAGCCTGGCTTTGCAATCTTGTGGTGGAGCACTCTTGCCTTCTAACTCTTTTCCTTTCATCGCTTGCTGATAGTTTACCTGTCCTATTGTCAGTCCTTCCAAGCCAAGCGGGTTTCTTCAACATTCCATTCATCAGCCGGCACGTACCAAAGCTGCTTCACCACATTCTCAAACTTCCGTTGGTTGGTGATTCCACCTACCAATGCCTGGATGCCCTAGGCAGAAGTATATAGTGCTTCTTGGCCCGTGCTGTAATGCCTCCTAGAATCGAGCCATCATCTCACCCTCAGCCTCTCCCCGCGAGCTTTCAGCTTTCGTCCCTCTCACCATCCCCTCCGGAGACAAAGGGTGAACATGTCTGGTACCAGTTCACCTGATTATAAAGCTCTCTTCCTAAAGGAGGTGGAACTGCGAAAACAGGAAGAAGAGCGACGGAAATAGGAAGAAGAACGTCGGAAAGAAGTAGAAGATTAGCACAGACGGGAAAAACGCCGCAACCAGCCCACAACCTTTGGGGAGTTTATTCGTGCCTGCCACGCCCTTCTCTCAAGACCCTTGAAAGTTGAATCGCCGTCTCGATCCACACAAGGAACAATACCGCCGCCAACTGGAAAATACTGTCCAACAAGGCTTCGCTTATGGGAGGACTGCGCAGCCAGACCACAAACAATTTACGACGCGGTTTGTGGCTACCTGCAGCCAACAGGGCAAGACATACCACGGTTATTTTCGTCTCTGGTTGCACTAGAGGATATCGGCCGACGATTCGGTCGCCAACCGCTGAGCAGTGAGCAAGATTTGGAAAGTTACGAACGGTTTGCAGTGGAAGACCACGTTCACGGCGTGATCACAGAATTATGCAAGATCCCCGAAGCTCGTCAAGAATTCAGGCTGGGGAACGGTGTGCGGTTTGATAACCATGCGGACGCCCTTGACGAAGTTGATCCCTCCGAGGAAGAGCCTTCCATCCCACCCCGATCCCGACCAGACCAATTCTGTATCCATCGGGTCGACGACAACACCACCACCCTCCTCACTACTATCGAGTATAAGCCACCGCATAAGCTGTCTGTCGAAAATCTCCGAGTGGGGCTTCGGCCGATGAACTTCTACGAAACAGTAGTGAAGCCAGACACCGTCCCGGTAGATGAGGCGGAGAAGTTAAGGTATAATGCGGAGCAGCTGATCGGATCAGTGTTAACCCAGGAATATCATGCGATGCTTCAAGAGGGGGTTGGGAATTCTTACATCATCAACGGGCTTGCCCAGGTCCTCCTCCATATCCCCTACGATGATCCAAGTACGCTTTTTTATTATCCTTGCGAACCCAATATGGACGTGAGGGTGGAGGACGACCAGAGTTTCCAGCAACCCAACACCGCCATTGCAAGGTGTTGTGCCTTTGCTTAATGAGCTTTGCTTCGCCCCTGCGGGATCAGAAGTGGCGAAACAGGGCTCGAGCGGGATTACATACTTGGAAAACAAGCTTTGACCACACCCGCGCCCAAATCCCTGAGGAGGAGCTCCAACAAACGCCTCTGAATTCCGGATACGCAGGTTCCCAGGCTAGGAGTTCTGAATACGCTAGCTCCGAATATCTATCCTCGTCTCCTCTTAATTTTCCTGTGGAGAGCAGTCGTCGAATCCCTACTCGGTCTCAACCAGGTTGTTCACCGTCAGATGTAGTCAGCGGTGCCCAAAGGAGAGACTCGCCAGATCCTGATATAAATCCAGGAATACTGGGACGGAAGCGAGGTATCTGCCAGGTCACATCATCTCCGCCTACACAGCAGTAAACTCGCCAGCCCGCTCACGATACCCACGGCGGCCAACATCAGCAATATGTGGTGCCATTTTGTACGCAGCGGTGTCTGCTCGGCCTTTAGCATAATGGCAACTTGGATTCTAACTGTCCTAATGTGGCACTACACCGACGCGGCCAGGGTGGGAGTTGGCACCCGATTGATATGGAGTGTCTTGTGCAGCTGCTGAAGAACCAGTTGGATGAAGACCTTGATCATAATTGCACCCCATTCGGCGAGTGTGGGTTATACGGGGCACCATTCAAAATCACTTGTGCTGAATTTGGCTATACTGTGGTCGGAAAGGGAACAACCTCTCACCGCTGGAAGAAAGTCTTTCGTGAAGCAGCCATCTATTAATTGCTCCGGAAAGCGCAAGGATCCGCGGTTCCCGTGTTTCTTGGAGCAATTGATCTGGCCCAAATTTACTTTCTGCACGGGGCTGGGGAGATCCGCCATATGCTGCTCATGGCCTGAGGTGGTGAGAGTACGGCCAAGCTCAAACCGTGGCCGGCCCTGCAGCCTGAGATTTCAAGATCAAAAAACGAAATTCGTGCTTTGGAAGTCATTCACCAAGACCCAATATTCTGTGGAATGCGGAATTGGGGCGAGCCGTCATCATTGACTTCCATCGTTCCACAGTGGGTCGCCTACCGGTAGTACTGAAGTGCGGGGCTCAAAGCGATTGCGTGTGAAATAACCGTTGCCTTGCCGATTGCGTTGCGAAGTAAGGATTGGCGAAACACTAGCGCCTTCACCGCAGCGCTTGCTAGTCAGTCTCTATTGGATGACATCTGACGCCCCACTTCAGCGCTTCAGCGCGCCCCCTTGTCAGACAGACCTTGAGCCTCAGAAGGCCAAAAATAAGTCTTGGAGATGAGGCAGGTCCATCCCAGGAACAAGCTAGAAACAAGATAAGGTATCGCCGCAAACCACACGACCAATCTGGCCTAAAGCCCGTAAAGGAGATCTGACCGGGGTTCTAAGGCCAAATCAGACATAGGCTTGTGGTCTGAACACCTACAAGGTCGGAGGGTGCGAAGCGGAGGCCTCAGGTGGTAGGCCAAGATTCTGATGACTTGGGTAGTAAGATCGGGTGCGTAGGGCTATTGACGGAGTACCAGAAACGCCAGACCCTGTGCTCCCGACCAGGCCGGTCGTATGACCACCACGGACGGAGAACCGCCAACTGGCGTCTACGACAGGTGAAAGACCCAGACAGTCGTCCGCCTACATAGTTGTGGCCCGTCTGGCCTGCCGACCACCCCAATGTTACTGAGTCTTCCACTTCGCGTGCGATCGACCTTATTGTGTCTTCATCCATCGCAAGCTCTCCCCCGAAATTCATAAAGATTTATCATGTCATCACGACCTGAGCGTCACAATTGAGAGGACTAATATAAATAAATCGCGGTCTGCGCCTTTGAAAAGTTGCATCTGTTGAAGCATTCGGACGTAGAGTGGGATCAAGCCTTGGGGGGTTCTCTCTAACAGCTTAACAACTGCCGCCGGCACTTCTGCATTCCTTGGACCACCAAGGAGACCCATCAAAATGTGCCATCTAACTTCTGACGCAGTTGTTCTTTGACCTGTTCCAAGAGCGTTCCTTTTTCTTGAAGTGCTGTCAACCGAGAAACTCTTCTACACATTCTCTTGTTCTCTCAAAGGTCAACAACATCCTCTTCACTTATCTTACTTCGATATCAACAATCAGGCCCCACATCCAGCCACCAAGATGATGACTGAAATGCCCACTAATAAGACCCTCCTCCAAACTACTGAACTGTGCACCCTTGACACGTGCCCGCTTGAGCTGGGCATGGTGCGATACCTCCCATTGCTATGGGGGCAGATCCTGTTCATGGCCATCTTCAGCGCGGCTGTAATCCTGCAGCTTATCTTTAGAATCCACCATAAAACGTGGACGTTCATGGTCGCCATGGTTCTCGGACTTATTAGGGAGGTTATTAGCTATAGTAGGCGCATTCTACGATATAACAACCCCTTTAAGCTAGATAGATTTCTAATATATCTTGTTTTACTAATAATTACGTCTACATTTTTACTACTACTATCTATCTCACCCTGAGTTGAATTGTGGTCGCGTATAGCGAGAAGATCTTATATTTCAAGCCTAGGACGTATACTATTACCTTTATAACTTTAACTTTAATTCTTCAAGCTGCTAGAGGAGCCATGGCATTTACTATAGAACTAGGCAACAAGGCTGTAACTAACCTTAGAGTAAACATAATAATTGCTAGTCTTATATAGCAAGTCGTCTCATTAGGCATCTTTATAATTATAGTGATGTACTTTTACCTGCGCGTCTATAAAGCTATAATAACTAACTTTAACCCTAACTTTATTACTCTACGCTTGAAACCCTTCTTTAAAGCCTTACTATAGGGGTTTAGAGTCGCTACCCTTATTATTATTATCTACTCTGTCTACCGCTGCCTTGAACTACGCGAGGGGTTTAACAGCAAGCTCGTAAATAATAAAGTCACATTTATGATTCTTAAGGTAGTGATAATTACAGTTGCGGTTATTACACTAATAGTCTTTCACCCCGGTGCTGTGTGGAAGGGGCAGTGGAATGAGGTGGTCTGGTTAACGCGCGGAAAGGATGAGAATCGGTATCACAAGACGACGAGCATGGACTTGGATATGTCGCTGAGGCCGATCCAGATGCAGAAACCGAGCACTGCTTATGATCCTCAAGTTTAGGTCGCGAAGATGGCTTAGATCGAAGCGGATGGTGGGAATGGTTGGATTGTGTGGATTCTGCCTCGTTTGCGTAGATAGACTGCTGTTTTTCTTTTGTTATTTTCTTTTATTATCTTGGTTATAATGCGGTTTTCAATGCTTCTTTTGTCATGCTACTTCATTTCTGAATATAGTTGCGGCTGCGATTCCGATATTTACTTTCCAACCTGACGCGCTATGTACTTAGTTTCCGGACCTCACTGCTTGAGCCGTACGGTGACTGGAGATACGTGACCCAAGCAAATATCCGACGCGCGTTGGCTACGTAGTAGTCCCGTACAGAAGGGGCAATTCCCTCTCTTTGAGAAACAATAGGGTGTTTCTTAGATACAGGATATCTATGCCCCAGCGAGTCACCGCTAATTTAGTCCATCAAGCCATTGTACGGATTTTTAAATTATCAACCTCAAAGTTATATGCTCAAGGAGAATACTTTTTTTCTTGACAAGTTTATCGTCGTCGTAAATTATGGCGACTCAGTGTCGGAAAACATGTGGCCATGCTTCTCGTCCGACTGGGTAAGTCGCAGGGATATATAATCAACATTTCATGGAACAAGCCGGCTTCATTTCGTATTCATCGTTTCATAAATCATATTCAAGGTCGTTTACCTCTCGCATTATAATAGACAACATAGTCCATGAAGAGGTAGAAAATAAAAGTGAAAGTACAACCACCAGATTGGACTGGTTAGGTATTAACCCAGCAATCCTGATTAAGATATGTTTCTCCTGGAAACCTAGGTAATGTCGGGAAGACGCTTTTTTAATGATTAACTACTTTAGAAACTAGACTATGTGAAAATGCGTGCAGGAAAATGTCTCTTTCTCTTCAATAGGGATTAACCTGGCTGATCAAGAAGAGAACACCGTCTGATCTGATATTTCCAGCTTGCTTCGCATTCGCCAAACAATAGATACCCGTAGCTATTCCCCGTGATGGGTGCCCCATCGTCTCCTTCAATCGATGTCCATCCCGTCATCATCGTCACTAGTGTCCATATCCCAATCAATGTCCCATGCCTGCAAGTTCTGAACGGCAGCGAGGTAGACTTCAAACACCGTCACAATAGCTTTGTTCTTCTGCCGCATCTGTCCAGGCTGTAGGTTTACCTTGGGATCATCTGGTCGATTAAGGTCGTATGCCCTTTTCGTCCAGAGGATCAAGAACTTTTTCACATCGCTCTCAACGCGTTTGTGGTCACTCCGTACCCACTCTTTCCATAGCGCGGAAAGGCCCTGGGAAATATAAGGCTTGTCGTACTTTGTACCCAGGTTCTTCATGATCTCAGTGTCTTCAAGGTCTTTCAGCTTTGTCTCTATTCGATTCGCCTGTTTCACGAGGGTCTTCTTGATGGAGTCGATGTTGTAGTATTGCCACATCAATATATGGGCTTTGAGGGTCTTGGCGTATAGGCTCCATTGGCCTTTTTTGATGTACGTACTCATTGCCTTCTCGTGGTACAGCTTGTTGCCGGAAAACCACTAGAATATGGCTTGGTCAGTAATCAGGTTTGAAAAGGAAAGTCCTACGTCGTGTATCCTGTATAGGGGAGCCAGGATTGTGCACGACGGGGTTGAGCTCAGGAAGGGCATACGATGTGGGGAGGGTACATACACCTTGCTTTACTTGCTGGTTTAAGAGAGCCTCCAAGAGCACCATTTCATCCGTGTAGTGCCAATGGTAGCCCGGATACTCGCCACCCAGAACGGTGTTGGGTATCCACGTTTCATCCTTTCCATTCTTTGGCTCCTCTGGTTGCCACCACTTTTGCATGTAGAGACACCATGCTAGCTCGTCCTTTGCACCTTTCGTTGGGTCCGGGTATTTTCGTGCGGCCGTGTTGGCAAGTGCCGTTGGTGCGGTCTTGTTAGACCACGCCATTCCTCGCGCGTTGAAGAACCGTTGGACAACTTGGCCCTCCAGGATATGCTCGCTATCATACTTCCGCCCCTGATTTGCGGTGGGTGTACTCGGCTGCTGTGGAGTCTTCGCGAGCTTTACCAAGTTGAGGTTGGTGCACGAGTTTGGATCTTCTGCGTCATAGGTAGCCGCATTAGGGTAATAATTACTGACAAGCTCCGAAGAGGAAGGATAATTGGAGAACTTTATCTTTCCCTGGTTATCGTCATGGAATCCCTCATAGCCACTGGCACCTTTGGTATTGCAGTAAGGGAGAATTTTCGAGTTGCGTGGGGCCAGGACGCCTCGGCGCATTAGTTCGTTCTCGGCATCCTCCGTGGCTGTATTTGAATCCAGAGTATTCATGTTGCAATCCAGTTCTTCTTGGTCGTCGTCGTCGGCACAGTACACACCCTTGGAAGAATAAGCGCAAGTTGATCGAGTGCTTTCAGGGAGTTCTAATGGTTCCTCGGATGCTCGTGAGACAAGGTTGCCTTCAAGCGCTCGTTTTGCAAGAACACTGAACGGTACACATTCTGAGAATATGGTGCCCTCTGTGCTATCCACCCAATGGTAATTGGCGCTGTCCCACCCCGGGAGACCGTGGGACACACTGAAGTCCACTCCCAACTTCCCGCTAACATCAAACTTGACGCCGTCGACGCAAGAAGTGCTGAGAGCAGCGTCAAACCGAATTGATCCTGGTACACTCAGCTCAATGTCCGTGTTGATGTACTGCTTCCCCCTCAGGTCGACCCCGACATTGATAATTACAGAGGGCCGGAAACTAAACACCAGTCCGCCTCCAAGCTTGGCCTCCATGTCGCCTGTGGCGGATATTGGGGACATTGCCGTGTTGAGAAAAAAGCCACCTCCAATTGAGGTAGGGTTGTTGCCAAGATCGCTGGGGAGAAAATATCGGAATCTCTCATTCGAGACTGATATTTCCGCAGCTGCCTCAGCAGAGATGTAGGCGTCGGCCTCAACCCGAGTATCCAACTGGAAGTATGGGTTCACAGTTAAGATACCCTTGAGGTAAGCATTCTGTCGTCCGGGCCGTTGATCTAGGTGGAGGATCTGAAGAAGGTTGAGAGGTCTGTCATTCTGAATAACTGGGGAAACAGCACTATTTAAGCACAGGAATCGACTAAACTAAATAAGGAAACAGGGGCTATCCAATATTACTGCTCCAATCGCTGTATCTCGTGAGTCCTGAGAGGAATGTTCGATGGAATGGTGAGAGGAATGCTTGCGCGGGGTCCGGAGCCAGGGGCTCCGGCCGACACACCCCCTCAGCGGTTGGAGGTTCCTAATTAGGACGGGATGAGGCTCGAGATATCAACCATATTCAACATCTTGATAAATTCTTGGTGTAGTGGTTTCGGGAGAGCCTTAGTAAGTCCGTCCGCAGGCATAGATCGTGAGGGAACCCAGGTGACTCGTAAGCAATGTTGTTGAACCTCTTAACGTAGCCAGGCGCGGTGTACGTCAACGTGTCGTAGCTTGGTGTGTACCATCATCGTCTCCTTGCTTAATAAATTGATTGTAGAGCTGTTGTTATAATATATTTTAAGGTCCTCTTTAGGGTTGAAATTAATGTCTCTAAAAATCCTCTTCCACCAGTACAATGACTTAGTGGCTTTAATCATCAATATATATTCTACTTCAGTGGTTAATAGTGAGACGATACGTTATTTCCAAGATCTCCAGTTAATTAGTCCTCCATATAATAGGCAGATGAATCCTCTAGTACTCTTTTGATCGTGGGCATCAGCAAATGCAGCATTAGCAGTAGTAAGAAACACCTTACTAGCTTATATTAAGCTTCCTCCGTATTCCAATGCAAGGAACCGCGTGTTGTAGAGGTAAGCAATAACCTGATTAGCAGCCCCAATATGTGTAGTGGACGGATTAACGAGAAATCATGATAGTACGCCATGTGCGTAGGCTATATCCGGCCAGGTGCAGGTCGCGGCGTAGCTAATTAAACCGACTTTTGACTGATATTCATGTATTTGGCTGGGAGATGCTATTTCCTCATTAGGAACTAGCTTCTGAGTAGGGAGCGGTGTCATTAGCCACCGTGCAAGGTCATTTAGGTGGTATCTCGCGGCGATAGCTTTAATATATGAATCCTGGGAGAGCCAGATCTTCTTCTGGGGTCGGTCCCGGGTCACGCGCATCTTAAGGAACCATTTCAACTCCCCTATATCCTTTAGTTCGTATTTCTCTTCAAGCGCTGCGGTGAATCTGGCAGCTGTAGCGCGGCCTTCGTACGTTGGAAGGTTGACGATTAGTATATTATTAACATATATAAGTACCAACATGAATTCGTTGGTAAAGAGGCATTCTTTATCTGGAATAGGTCGTAAGCCATGCGCTTTGATGGTTGTAGATAGGTCTTCCTGCTAGAGTCGTGGCGATTTCCGTAGGCCATATAAAGCTTGAAGAAGCTTCCAAACCTTCCCAGGTATGCCGTGCCCTGGTGGCATCCTAGTATAGACAGGTTCGTATAATATAGCATTAAGGAAGGCGTTAACGGCATCTCGTTGCTTTGAATCGAGGTCATACATCGCCATTAGGACTGTAATCATTCGCAGAACTCTAGCTGAAGCAGTTATAGCACGATTCTCCTCTTCACTGCGTGGTTATAGGTCTCCGCGGACCACTAGGCGTGCCTTAGCTTTAATATAGTATCCATCCTCGTCGAATTTGTACGTAAAAACCCACATAAGTAGAAGGATCTAACGGTTCTGCGCCTCTGCTTCATTCATGATAATATAAGACTTCTTCCTCTTAATCTCTACTAGTTTGCTCTATATAGCTACTAGAAAGTCTTGACTAAGTAGATGCTTCTATGCTTCTGACTAATTACGTGGCTCTGGAGGCATCTAGGTTCGATGAAATCGTTTGGTTGTCTTGATAGCATTTATCTGTGGATTGTCAATGTATGGTAATTAGAAGTAATCATCGTTGATGTCATTAGCTTCAACGTATTAAGCTTGGTAGTTTGGAACATCTCTACGAGTTCTAGTTTGACCACTAGTAATAATATTCTTCTATGAAACATCTAAGCCAGGCCACCATGGCGCATCTATTGTATCTTCTTCACCCCCTGAACCAGTATCCGCGGCAAGGGGATTCAGACGTGTGGATCATCGTACAGGTTTAGTAGCAGCTTGCTGGAGTGATTCCTAAAGTGCCTAGCTTGGTGATGGGGGATCTAGCGTCGTTGGCGCTGGTGTCGGCGAGGTCTTCACGCGAGCCTGTATTGGGACCTGTACAGAGACCTGAGGACCTGTAGGTGACGTATTTAGTATAGGGTCATCATCTAGGAACTCTCTAGGCGTGGTTTGTTGTGCTAAAGTATTCTATGCTAGAGTTAGCGTTGCTTCTAGACTAGGAAGGAGGGGGGGGGTTAAAGGTTATTCCCGCGTAGAAAAACATTGTTCCCCGCGTCCGTTAACCTTATTTTTAATATTAATTAACCTTCTATTAGTGCCCTGCGGTACCCCCTCAGCTTCAACCCTCTCGTACGACGTTAATACGGCACCAGGATCGACTATAGGTAGCTCATTCCAAGCCTCTTGAATAGTAAATAACGGGACGACTTCTATGGCCATGCGAGGCAGCGTAGTTTTGGAGAAATTAGTTAGTAAAGGTTGTAGAGGATTATATCAAGACTCCTCCTAAAAGACAACATCTCTAGCCTGTATGACCTTCTTCTAAGTTAGCAACCAAATGTCCCATATATTTGACGCGTTGTAGGCTACCAGATAGCCTAGCTTAGCGCGTGGTTCGAATTTCATTGAGCGCTTGACATTGTCACGGATATACGCAGCGGATCCAACTATATAATAGTTCAATATGTTGGGTTTCTGAGCCGTTAGTGCTTCGTACGGGGTCTTCCAACCTAAACGCTTCGTTGGGGTCCTGTTCAGTTGGTATACTACTGCTTTGACGAGCCACGGCCATAGTTCATGCGGTAATTAAGCAGTAATCTAGATTCTTTGAGTTCTCGTGATAATTACGCCTCTAGATCGTTCTGTAAATCTATTCTACTCTAGCGTGCCCGGCACGCTTGTCTAGTATATGATCCCTTTACCTGCTATAAAGGTCTTGAAGTCTCTCCCTAGGGATACCTTATTATTAGAGAAAATAGTCTTGACTTTTCGTTCCCACTAGTGTTTAACTAGCTAGATGAAATCTTTAATCTTCACTACACATTCATTCTTCTGATAATGTGTATAGGCAAAGTGCATGCTAGTGACCTCCTCATATAGATGGGTAACGTATTAATGACCATTCAGCCCAGGGTTAATAGTAATAAGGTTAAAATGGACTCTTCTAAAAGGCTCTATAGCCCTGCGCGCATCTCGTCAAGATATCTAGCGATCTGCTTTAGCTATATAACATGTATGGCAGCTAGCCTCTCTAAATAACTCTCGCGTTGAAATATCTATCATTTCAATGCCTTGAACCACTGCAGGGAGCTTCTCCAAGGCTTCAAAGCTTATATGTCCATAGCGGTCATGCCACCGCTTCATATCCCCTTTTAAAATAACTGGTTTCGAGGATATAGGCGTCCGTTAAGTTAGAAATACAGCGAGATCGCGTTAGCGGTTGGTTTCAATATACCAGAGGTGGTCAATATATTAAAGGTTGCAGAATATCTCGCCTCCACGTCAACGTATGACGTCATGCTCGAGGTCTGGGAACACGCCCGCCTTCTGCATTGCACTAGCAGAGACGATATTAGTATGGAAACCAGGGATATAGTGGATATTATCAATCAACATCTCCTTCCCCTTTGGGCTAGTGGGTCGAATCATGACTATTCTAATGCCTTGGACATCTGCACTAGTATTCCCTGACTTGACATATTCCTCGTGAGGCGTATAGTTATTAAACTAGTCAAGATTATTACACACGCTTATTTAGCCCCCTGTATTAACTATCTAGGAGTCTTCCTTTCGTATATTAACTATAGAGGTCGACATTACTGTATTAACGAGAACGCTGAACATGACCTTATCCTGGTTAACGCTCGCGGAGTCGTTGGACGACTAGTAGTTACTAAGGTAGCGCTTTAAGATTTGACCTTTAAAGCTATTTGCCTTGATTTCCTTTATTACACGATCAATAACTTCAGGATCTGGTTGGTAGTCTATTAGACGACCTTTAGCATCCTTATTAACGTGCCAATAGTCCTTATAGAAATAGTTCTTGCCGCATACACATTTTAGAGGTTTCTAGCGGGAGTTTTAACCATTTAGTTGACCTCTAGAAGGTTGTTGACCATTAGATTAACCCTTAAAGGTCCCGTACACAGCGTTATGTGCTTCTAGAGTGTTCTAGATGGTTAGATATCATTAAAATCCTATCATGAGCTTGAAGAGGTCAGCCCTGTGTCCCATATTTATTATATCTTCAAGATGACAATCTATAAAGCCAGGAAACTAATGCTTTATTCTATTTAGAAAGTCTTTCTCTGCTTGCTAGATATCCTAGTGGTCCCCGTGAAGCTTTATCATTAAACCTGCAGCTACTTTAAACTCAGTGATCTAATTATCTATAGGTCTAGCATTAACCTTGCTATTCTTCGCGGCGTTGTATTAAATTAACGCGCTAATCTTCTATTCTTCTAGTAATAGAGCAAAGTCGTCCTTAAGCTTCTTTAATAAGTCGTATAGGTTGGTCGAAGAATATAAGCTATGTAAATCCTTAAGCAGACAACTAATTAATAACGTAATCTAGTTGTGTACAATAGCTCGCCCTTTCTAGAAGAGGATATATCGACTATTCTCCACATTAAATATCATTACTCGATGATTATATTATTATGTTGATTCATTTAAAGCAGGTGCCTTAGGGATAGCAGGCTGTTGAGGCACCTCAGGTTTTGGTACAATGTCAGGATTAATATATTCCCATATTCCTGCAAGAATTATAGATGTCTGTATAGCTTCATACCATAACCACCAGTCGTCCTTGCTATTCAAGACGACTAAGACCTTGATGGCTTGGCTATGAAGCAAAGTATCCTTCATATCAACGGACCGGAGCTGCACTAGTTCAGGGAAAGTTTCGCGCGTAATTAGCAAGGTCGGAATAGCTTCACAATAAGCCTATTCAGGTAATAAGGGTCCGGAGGTGGGTTGTAGGTAATAATAAAGAAGAATATTCCTAGCAACCCAGGCTCATAACTGTCGTCCGGGCCGTTAATCTAGGTGGAGGATCTGAAGAAGGTTGAGAGGTCTGTCATTCTAAATAACTGGGGAAACAGCACTATTTAAGCACAGGAATCGACTAAACTAAATAAGGAAACAGGGGCTATCCAATATTACTGCTCCAATCGCTGTATCTCGTGAGTCCTGAGAGGAATGTTCGATGGAATGGTGAGAGGAATGCTTGCGCGGGGTCCGGAGCCAGGGGCTCCGGCCGACACATTCATTCCAAAATCCGAAAAGGAGCCGACGGACATCCAACCGCTGTCCATATACAACCGTGCACGAGCATGGAACTTGGCTCCCATTCTCATGGAGAAATCCTCTTGATTCCAGAAGGAAAAGGCCTCCTGAAAGTCGAAGTTGCGAAGAGTACCAATTAATGAGGTCCCGAAATCCATAGTCGTGTTCATCTCGCCGAAGACCCTGGCCTCTGAGTCGAACTCGGCGATGCCACACACTGCCTTTGCTTCGAAGAGGCATTCATTCCACTCGTAATGCTTTCTGAGGCCTTGGCCTCCATAGACTAAGAGCGCCTCGAACCTCTTACGCCAGTCCTGCTTTGTTTCGGACCAGAAACGGCGATCCAGCTCCCTCCAGTTCTCTGCTGATCGCTTGACCGGGGAGTCATGGGAGGCTTCTACCAGCTCGTACCAGTATCCGACATGGGTCGAGAAATCCGCACGGAAGTAAACTTCACCGCCATCCCGACGTAGATTGTGGAAGTTGTAGTCGTAGTGGAAGTTGTAAACCCTCTCCGCGGAAGGGTGTCGCTTGCGCAGATGGCCAGGGATGGTCGAATTGGTCAGTTCGAAGCGGACGGCACGAACGTACTGATCTGGTCCACAGTGGGAAGGCATGCGGACGACCGTGCCTTCCACTCCGCCTAGGAGAATATCTTCACAGTTGTTATTATCCTTTGAACCCCCTACACAGACCGCCTTCGCCTTTTGAACAGTGTAGTCCTCCCGATCTGTGTTTGGGCAGTCGTATAGTTCCAAGTGCGAACCATCCCGCTTGTCAAAGCTCTGCACATCCTCAACATCCCCCACCATAACAACCCAGGTGAAGGCTCGCTCGTTAGGATCTAACCCGGCAGCCTTGCTACTAAGGTCATCATCATTATGATCAAAGGTCTCGGCGAAAGTCATGCTATAAGTGTCGGGGAATGACTTGGCGTCGGGGAAAAGGTTCTCCAGAGGAACTGGCAGGAAGGCCGAGCCATCATTTAAGGGAGGGTCACAGCAGAAGGCCTGTTTTCGACCTTTATTACAACCGTGGTATGATGTATCGAGACCCTCATGCCATCCGCTGTATTTGAAGAGTTCAATCTGGCCCTGCTTGCGGTTAGCGGAACCCCGTCCAAGTTGCTCATTCAAGGTATCCTACCAATGGGCATTCGTTGTCGTTGCAGTAGTAATTATCACCGTGCCAGCCACATGTACTCAAGTCGTATTGCTAGAGTTGGGTCGCTTTGTTAGCATGGACTCAAATGTAACTGGTCGCGGAACATACAGGTTTCTCTGGGCAACAGAACTTTTGACGAATTTCGACCCTGCCCCAGTCATCCCGATACATGTCACCAACCGTGGTCATTTCCTGGGGCTTGTCCGCTGGACACGCCTTTCTGTGTGGCTGCAATGCGCATTCTTCTATAGATTTCTGCCCATTTGTGGCCGGGCAACACCCTATGAACGCGTAGATTAGCTTTGTTACGATGATACAGGGCAGCCGAGGATGCACTTACAAACTTTCTTGCCTCCATTGGTGCACCTTTTCTTGCTGTCTCCGTAATCATCGAGCACCATGCTTACCTCGCCAGGCGCACACTGACCATGGCAGTTAACCGGCCCACCCGTCCAGTAGCAATTGGACGACTCGGGTGCATTGACAGCGGGACAACAAACTATCAATATCCCAAGACTGTTAGCGCCTCACTCTGGAGAAGAAATAGTGCGGAACATACACGACCGGGCATAGTGATCCTTCCCATCACATCCTCGGCCACTTGAATCCTCATTCAAGCGGGTCATGAGGATATCCCCTGCCTCGCAGGACTCGTGGCAATTAGTGATGTAGCACTGGTCGAGTGCAAATGCACCGTAGCCATCGACAGCGTCAGCAACAGGGGGGATATCCCTCCCAGTAACCCCACGGAGCGCATTGAAGTATCTATCATCCTGATCAATGGCCCAGATTAGGACCCCACCAAGCCCGTATTTATTCGCGAGATCTGTTTTAGCCCTAAACGAAATGGCGTCGTCGAATGAGACCCAGTTAGCGCCGCCTTTGCCGTACGTCACGTAGTACACGCCGGCTTCCTCGTCATACACTGGAGTTAGATTACCATCTGCTATGATATCTTGTATTTCCTTGTAGGAAAGTATGCCGGCGGTCGTGGTACATGGCCCCTTAGGGCCAGGATCCTTCCATTCGCAACCGGGCTTTGCACAAAGAGGGGTGGACAGTTTAAAGGTTCGTCCGTAGAACTTTGGGACCAAGCAAACCATTAGCTAGATAGCACAGGATTAGAGCATAGGAACCAAGTGCTTACCGCGAGCCCCAAGTTGATTTTGCTGGGGCTGATGTCATTCCTCCAGAACAGGTCCAACGCATCATCAATCTCTGTGAGATTTGTATGAGCATACAGGTAAGGTCCAATTGGGTCTTCCCTGTCCCAGGTGCCATGAAGGTCGTAGGCCATGAGATTAAACTCATCCACTACCATTTCCAGCATCTTGATATCAAACCAACGCAGATACCAATAAGATGTTGGAACCGTGAGGGATAGGCCCCACTTTTTGGAATAGCGGTTGCTCCCCTGGAGTGCCCGGCGTAGGCCACTCATCATCTTAGGATAATTAGTGTAGTCCTCCTTTCGGCCTCCACGGTCGTCTGCGCCAGGATACTCCCAGTCTATATCAACGCCGTCAAATCCATACTTGTCCATGAATTCAATCAGATTCTCAGCAAAGCGGTGTGTCAGTGACGTGTCAGCAGCCATCTTGGTGAAAATAGACTGATAGGCCCCGTCGTCGTTGAAGGTCCAGCCACCGACACTAATCCAGATCTTTGCCTTTGGGTTGCGTGTTTTGAGATTCGCTAGTCGAGCGTACATCTTTGTGCCGTCGATTCCGTCCATGTTGATGATAGTGTAGTCCTTTGGATCAATGTAAAGGAATGCAACGTTCACCTGATCCAGCGATTCGATTGGAATCTCCTCGGGTGCCATGTTGTTGCATACCTGACCCGCCGCCCTCCAGATCTCATAGTATCCAATGACTTTGTTGCGTACGTCGCCGTTAGATCCGGGAGATGGTTTGTTTGGATCTTGGCAGTTCGATTGGCATCCTGCGAAAGGAAGGAGAAGAAGGATAGTTAGCTCCCAGCCGGAAGTTGCCTGTATTGCTTGGTAGATACGTACCCGTGCCACAAAAGTCCTCCGTCGTACCTAGTATATACAGTGTCAGCCTCTAACGTGCAAAAGGCGGACAGATACGAGGTACCGCAGAAGCCAAATTGCCTAAACATCATCTCATTTGTAAGCGCTCATGTCCTTTAAACATGTCCGTTTTGTGGCAGGAAAGCTACCCACGAACAGCAAATATTCAAAGGGCAAAGCTCCCCTGGGGTTGCCGCATCTCTTCCGCACTCTGCCTTTGCATCACAGTTCGATTGGCAACCTATAACACGTCAGACGCCGCTCTGGTCTATGGGGCGATCTTAGTCTACCTTTGCCGCAATAGAGTTCACCAAATCTGTGAGAAACCAGTTAGTCAACTGGGATGGCACAGAGGGTAAAGTTGCATAGAGCAACAAGTAGCAACTCACCCACAAACATTATTTGATCCGCAGCAGGCCTTATTCTTACATTCTCGATCGGGCCCACACGTGTGGTCATCCTCCTCGTATGCCCTTCGTACAAGAGGACTACTTACCGTGGCAGCAGATGTAGGCTGTGGTTGACTTGAGGTAGAATACTGCACCTCGCGATGGTGGTGGTGGTGACGCTCAGCAAGGTGCCCATGCCCATGTGCATTGTGCCCAAGGACAGTCACTGACTGCAGCAATGGCAGCCAAAGAACCGGTGATAGCCGCATTGTCTTCCACACAGTCCAGTTGCACTGCCCTTCTTCCAGCATGGAGCCATGGTCTCTATTATTTATTGGGTTTTCTTGGGTACGGAATTCTCGTTTGCCTGGGGCTTTTTTTTTCTCCGGTCTAGTGCTGCACACCAACTCTCATCGAACGGCCCTAGGCGCCGGCTTGGTCAATACAGGAAAGAGGAGACGGCTGTCGTTTAGCGACGTTGCACCGAGAGGCGATACGCCCGGAACAATGGGCTTTGGGCGATTTTCTGTTCCAGCCGAGGGATTCAGGAACGCTTAGCTTAGCGTGGTGTGCTAGGTGGGCCAGGGGTGCATAAACAAGCAATCATCTTGTTTCAAGACAAAAAGAGTTCGACCAGGGTCGACTGTCGACCACAGAATCACAGAATCTACTAGTACTCCGTATCTAACATTGGTCCTTCTGTTTCTTCTCCACACCCAGATTCCCAATGATCTCCCGTGGAATGGAGGCTGAATTATGACTGGGCGAGAGAACGCCGTGTCTCAATAAATCTACATTTATATCTATTTCGTAGTTAAACGTTAGCTTTATTTCTCTTTTTCCAGTTGTTCGAGCTATCGTGGGAATCCCCCACTGCGGCAACCTTCCACGGGGTGCGTGCAAGCTTTCAATGCATGCGAGGTCGAATCTTCCTTCGGGTGGTGGTTTCCCGGTTGGTTTTGCGCGAAATTTTGGCGGACCTAGCGCTCGAGTCAACTTCCGCGGCTTCCGACAAAATCATCTCACGGAGGTGGAGCCCTAGGACAAAGCAGAAAGGGTTACTAGGTAGAACAAAAAACGTAGAGGATTCCGAAAAAAAAAACAAAGGGGAAAGGAGGAAAAGCAGTTCTTGCCCCTCACCATAGAGGTTAGAAAAAATTACACAGAGGCCATTGTAGCCGCCTGCAAATTAAGTGGATCCCAGGCAGGGCCCAGGACAATCACGGCTAAGACTTCATTCCCCCGGGCCTCCCTCTCGCCTAATAATATGAGTGGAAGCCTGCAGGGAAAGACTAATCCGCCGGCTGCTGTCCGCTAAAAGAAGTACTAGGGTGTCCCTCTTGTTCAAAAGGGAAGTAATACGCGAACCTTTTGTTACCTCACGCATGTCCTCTAGAGGATTCACGGATGCAAGGGTTGTTTGATAGGTGAGGTTACATATGACTGTGGGTAGTGCTGTTGGGACAGTAGAAGGTCTTGTGTCCGATTTTCAAGCGTCAACTTTTCAACTTCAAAGCCTGCGACAGTTGCTGATGTATCATATTCCCACGTTATTCGACAATGCAGCTCCAGCATCATCTCCTCGCAGCGCTGTCCGTCGCTGCAGCGCCGTCATGGGCGCTCATCCAACTCTTCAACTCCGACACCCTGCCGCCTCTATCGCCGGGATGTACTGCTGCGCTCAGCAGCAATTTGTCATGTGGCGTTATGGAGACTGGTGACACGATGTACCAGTTGACGGTCAATCTGACCACGGATATGCTGGACGAGATGTGCTCGCAAGAGTGTTTGAACTCCATCGCAGCATACGAGCAGAAGGTTGAAGTCGAATGTGCGAACGATGAGTTTGACGATTCTGGAAACTCAACTAGAGCTTCGGCTTCTGCTTCTGGAGTATATCGGCCTATTGTACTGCCAGCTTACTACCTTACCAACCACAAGCAGAGGTGTCTGAAAGACAGTGACGGAGGTTACTGCGTGCTACATCTCCAAGCTACGAACGACCAGGACGAGTGTGATCATTGTGGATTGCAAATGTTCCAGGCAGAGCTCAGCAACAGCTATTTCTTTAACAATGATTTGGCAGAGCAGTTTTCTTCCCTGACTTCAAGTTGTTCTGTCTCGACACTTGACACTCCGACACATACTTCTGTCGTTCTCTCCAGGTACGTTGTAATGACCCAGCCATGGCACATCGCTCTGTTCTCATGACTATATCTAGTTCGTCCGCTGGCATGCCAACTCCGACAGCCTGCGCAGAGAGGGTGGCAACGATTCAAGCAGGAGATACCTGTGACAGCTTCGCGGCGGCGAACAATGTAAGCACATGGAGAATGCTCATCGAAAATGGATTACAGAGCGGCTGCTTGGACTTTCCCACCAGCGGCACACTCTGCGTCAGTGGCCGGTGCCAAACCCATCTCGTCCAGCCTCAGGACACATGCGTCAGTCTCAGCCGGAAATACGACATCACCATAACTCAATTCATCACATGGAATTCTGTCTTGAATTCGCTATGTAGTAACTTTGACGTCCTGGTTGGCCATTACGTCTGCGTTAGCTATCCAGGCAATGCTACGTCTGAGTTCAATTCTTATGCCTCTGGGGTCGCTGGGTCGACGGCAACGGCTCCAGCTCCAATCCCTAGCGACGTTGTCGCTGGCACAAATGTCAATTGTGGCAAATATTACCATGTTAAGGGTATGTCCTATGAGATTAATCGCTCCTCCACTCAATCAATTACAGAGCCGCTATGCTAATCTATCTCCAAAGAGGGGGATTATTGTCAGTCCATCGCAATGGCACACGGTATCACCGTATCGGACTTCCTCTTTCTGAATCCTGAAGTTGATGGAAACTGCACCAATCTATACAAGGACTACAGTTACTGTTTGTATCCCGGCCGATACTTGGTCTATTGTTTCGGCTAACGTGGAGAACCCCAGGCGTGCAACCAGTTGGGAAAATAGAGACCTACCCGGGATATGGAGGTTCCACCACAACACCATCACCCACCGTGCTATATGTCACCCGTATGGCGTGGAGCGATCTACCGATTGCGACAAATTTGACTTCCTGGGTACCGATCGTGACACCGGTCACTGCACCCCTCGCCAAGCGTACTCGACGAGACTGCGAAGAATACGAAGACAACTATGATGGCGCTATTCTGTGCTCCTGGATCGCGCGTGGAGTGAATTTTCTCGACTTTATCAGCTGGAACCCGTCTCTAGACCCTTACGATTGCACATTGGCGAACAATACTCGATACTGCACCCTTCTGGGATCTGGATACCTTATTCAGGATACCAACCCTGACGAGAGCCTGCTGTATGCTGACGTTCCATCCAACGCAGCTCCGGACTCCACGGCCAAATGCTACTATTGGCATGAAACTCAAGACGGTATGCTTTACCTAGCGATCTCATCAAAGGCTTGAATCTATGTCTTCTAACGGCATATTTACTATTACAGGCGACACGTGCGAAAAGATTATGGCGTCCGCAAATATCGCACTTGACGCGTTCTACGCATGGAATGTAAGCTGACCCTTTTCCCTGAGACGATAAATATTCAGCGAGCTAAATCGTTCCCCGGCAGCCGAGTGTGAAGAGCGACTGTTCGAACATGTGGCTGAACACCTCGTACTGCATGGAAGGCCCCGGATACGATGACACCTACTATACAGGTTCTCTGACTTCAACCTCAACTACTTTAACTGGAACTGGAACTGCTACGCCGACATGCACACGAGACGCAATTTCAGCTCCAGGGCCGACTCAGGCGGGAATTGCGTGTGATTGCAACAAATACACGGTACAAGATACCGACGGTGAGCGCTAACCCCCACTATTTGTCATTCGCTTCAAAATTAGCTGGCTGCCTTGCTCACAATGTGTTCCGTCACAGGCGTCTACTGTCAAGACCTAGCGAACCAGAACGACATCACCCTCAACCAGTTATACCAGTGGAATCCAGCGCTGAATGGCGACTGCAGCGGACTGTGGCTCAATTATGCCTACTGCATCGGTGTCACTTCCCCAACACAGTCAACCGCCTCGGCCAGTGCGACCGCCACAACGACGACCAAGCCCACAACGACGACAAGCGCCTCGCCAACTTGTGCTACCGTGACCCCTCCTGGGCCCACCCAGGCCGGTATACCATGCACATGTGACAAGTATCTAATGCAAGCGGACGGTATGTTGATCAATACAGCCTTACCAGGAGTAGGCTCCATACGGCCTGATAAACCCAACTAACCAATCACAGGCATTTACTGCTACGATATGGCGGCTGAGTCCGGCATTACGCTTGACGAGTTGTACCGACTGAACCCGGCGCTCGGCGGCGATTGCAGCGGGTTGTGGGCAGGATATGCTTACTGTGTTCGCACACTTTGAGTTGAAGGACTATGTAGTTATGAGCTCGGGAAGCGATAAATACAGAGGCTGTCATATGATCTGGAGGGCATGGAATGTGACGGAAGACACAGCCAAATTGTGGGCACTTGAAGTGGGTGGGTATATATTTTTCGCCACAATAATCGCTGGTTGGACTCGGAATTTATGTTTTTGTCCGTATGTATGATTAAACTTGATGCCACCTGCAGGAAAAATCCCTTGCGAGTCTGGACCGTCCCGGAACTACTCCGCAGATACTAGTACTACATAATAATTTACATTATTCTTGTTCGGAACCAACGACTTCCGACCAGGGTCCAGACTCCTGATATGGGATAGTATACTGGAGGAATTGGTCAGTGAATCGGCCTATTCGTTCCTGAGCCGGTAAAGACTCCAGTGATTGGATCCAACAGCTTCTTGATACTAAATAATAATGAATATCAGAGGGATATTCCCCTGAGTCCGGGTAACATTATCCGGTGTGCGTTGTGATTGTAGCTGCAGGGAGCCAGGAGTATGTGGGTCCACCAAAGGGTCGCGAAGATTCCGCTCGCCGAGGCTTAGCTGAGCTTGAGTGGAAGTACCGGTTCACGAGATTGAAACTCCTCCGTGGCTACCATGGATTCCCTTGCGACGTCCTATCCCTAAACAGCAAATGTACAACAGTGCCCAAGGTCCCCGACCCGGCCCGGGCGCTCGATGAGATTAGCATGGCAAAATCAGGTCGCGACCGTCGTCCATCCACTGGCGCATACTGCAAGGCCAACTTGACAAGTTGACCAGCAGGCTATATGTAATTGGTTACTTTGGCAATTATGTAATCATCCGGCAACAACTTGGAATTTTGAAAGCCGCAGTAACATCTCCGCCCCGCGGCAAACAAACCAGCAACAAATCCACACTCAGTTGGACTCCTTCTGTTTCTAGGATTTCCATCATCGTATTAAAAGCTTTACTGCTCAACTTGAGGAATCCTGGCTAGCTCTATAGTTGTGTCCCTTTTCCCACTTGGTGAGAGCTTGTTCCACAGTCGTCCGTCCATCCTTGTCGCGCCAACGACGTGCACTACAGTGGTCTTTTGCTGCCTGGTTTATGGTCTCGTGAGCGCACAGGGAGAACCTCATGGCCAGATTACTTTAGCTATCACCAAGCGAGTTTTCGATCAGCGCAAGTATCTAGAGACCGAAGATGGCGAGCAATCTCCCCCGAGAGCTGATATTCGTGATCGCGGAACACCTTAACCGAGATGGTGGCTCCTTGCTACCATATGCCCTCGTCTGCCGTAGCTGGCAACCTGTCTTTGAATCTTTCATATTTTCCACCGTGACGGTACACAGCGGCGAAAGGGATGGCACTAAGGCTCGCGAGCAGAAGGGGTTCTCCCTCGAGGATTTCAAGAGGGCAACGTCGGGCCAGAATTCCAGGCGCCGAGCATGGATTCGGGAAGTTCGATACGATATCATTGTCCCATATGAACTACTGGACTGGAGTAATACCAAGTGGGACGAATCCTATACAGTTGACAACCCGGTTCGGAAAGCCAACGACGAGGCGTTCCAGGCGGCAATGACTGAGCTTTTTACAACAGTACTCAGCTCTTGGGACCAAACACACCGTCTCTCGCTACATATTGGACTCCTTGGGTGCAAACAAGGCTTTGAGCTGGAACCTGGCACCTCCAGATATGAGGACGCCGGCGACTACCGCTTCGACTTTACAGATGGGCGAACCGAGGCTCTACCTCCTTATCGCGCACGGCTATCTGATTTTGATGCTCTATCCATCGTCCCGTGCGTTGATAAACTTACCTTCATCAATTCGAGACATCGATTCAAAGAGCCATTTCTCTTCTACGAGGAGAAGGATGATTATGAGGACGAGTATGACCCAGAACAAGATCCCCGACCACGCAACAGATGGCATCAAATTTGGGCTGGGACCGTGTTTCAGATCGCGGAGCGTTGTCGGACCATCACCGAGCTACATTTGAATCTAGATGAGTACGTGCGGCCAGATCATCTGGAGTACATACAGGAACGCCGTGCCGGCAAGTACTTCATGTCCGTTGATTTTGATCAACACTAACAGCTTTATAGCGGTTGCTGAAGGGGTACGGCACCTACCATCGAGCTTGAGGGTCTTCAACTACCTCGGCTACAAGGAAGAGCCGTGGAAGGAAACAATGTCGGCCTTGAACGTCCTCAACGCGGGTGTCGACACCTTGGCAGGTAGTCTCCGGGGTCTAACCTATGTGCTTAGAGAGCTACGATTGACCTATGTAACCATCTCTCTGGACTTCCTGTGCCCACTCAATCCCGAGGGCCAGCCCACCGCTAACTGTACCTCCCACTGGCCCAACCTCCAAGTCTTGACACTGCATAGATCCCCACCTTTCACCCCACAAGGTAATACGAGATCAAACATACCCGGGATAGGCTAGCGCTAACAAGACTCGCAGGGAAATGGCTCGCACTCCCAGACACCGAAGAGCAACAGATAATCGACGAAGTTAGCGACTGGGAGACCGAGATCTGCAACACCGAACGTGGATTCATCAGCCGCCCCGTCCTTGACGCGGAGCAAATCCATCGGCTATCAATCTCATGGGGCCTCGCTGCTCGGCATATGCCCCAGATCGCCGTGATGGAGTATCATATGACCCATGGGAGCTCAAAGACTGACTTTGAGGTTCGTATGGGCGACGAGATTACCCTGCGCTGGAAGAGCCGTTCTACCTACGTGCCGGATCAGAGAGTTGCGAAGGCGTGGGGTTTTGATTTGAAGGACATGACCTCGCATAAACCGCTGTCGTACTCGGTAGTACTGCCTAGCCGGCCTGCTGGGACAGAGTGAGGTGAGTACGGGATCAAGCTCCTGATGGTGTTGGGGATCGCTACGTTTGTATGCAGTTGATTATTATCATACCATTCGCAACGTACGCGACAAGACCATTGGATTTGTTTCTTTCATGCTTTTTCCAATCTCCGGCATCAGGATTTACTGTGTAGGACACTTCCGACGTCATTCACTGATACAGATGCTCGGGTCTCTCCAAACCAACCTCACCCGCTCGAAAATAATACTTTTTGTCCGGCGACAGAGTCCCTCCGCTCTTCAGAAGACCAGTTTGTTTTCTGCATGCCCTGCCCAGCTTGCTCAGGCATTTGACCATCTTGACCGATTTGCGCGTCGAATAGCTCGTTGCGTTCCGCCAATCGCCATGCCTCTCCACCTATCATCTATACCTCCGCGCTTTCCAGCAGCCAAGCAACCAATCACGCCTCGTTATATCTACATGCTTGCTTTTTCCTGTCGCAAAATTGCAGAGAGTCCCTAATTTCGACAATTAGCGAGCAGTCATCTCCAGTTCGTCTTTCAACCCCGCAGAGGCAGGGTTGCGAACGACCAGCTGGCGCTTGCGCAAAAGCAAACAGATTCTAACCAACACTCCGGCCGCACCTTCCATTTTCCTGCCTATTTCCAACCTTTTCCCCTTCTACGAGCCATCTCCTCTCCATTCCCTTTCATGGTTGCACCCTTCAAGTTCCCCAAAATGCCAAAATCCGGTCGTGGTCAGAGATCGAAAAATTAGTTATGCGGGCTATTCCGGCGCAAGCACCGCCTCAACCGCGATGAAGAGAGCCAGGTACCGTGCTCTATTTTCTCCAGGGACGCGAATTTCCAATGGTACAGCCTAACAATCTTTCTTTATAGTCAATTTCGCCCGTCCGGAACCCCACGCGAACCCCTGCCGAATTCAACGAAGCCTCGTGCTGCCCGGACATCCTTGAAAACAAAGCCCTCGAACGAACCCCTTCGCCCAGGTCCTCAAACGCCCACGAACCACGAAGCAGTAAACGTCAGACTGCAAAATCTGGATATGGATTCCAAGGACCAATCTGGTCGAACACCTCTATCATGGGCTGCAGAACAGGGACACGAGGAGGTTGTCAAGCTGCTTCATCAGGCTGGAAACAGAGTCACTTAGCAGGCCCTATCAAGAATTTGTTCGTGGGGCATTAGTAGATTCAACATAATGTGAATAAAAATAGGACATACAAATGGTGATATGCATATTAATAGGCGGAGTCATATTAGAGTCGAGATGGGGCAGAAGAACATATATCATACCAGCATCCTCTCATTATCAGGGTGTCAATTGCCCAATGAATCACGCGCTTCACGGGTTTTACGAATGCCAACGCTTAAAATTCAAAACTATGCTTCAATCAACGAACTATAGTAGAGCTTCAGCACGGGGAACCGGCTCATCGTACGGCCAACTACGCTGTTAATGAGGAAGCCCGTGCTATTAATACTACTAACTGTCAGAAGGCGTTCCTTCGTATTATTAGGCCTTCGGCAACATGGGGATATTAGTTGCAAGCCTGGCGTGATAGATGTCACAATGCAGCTCATGCAACCATGACTTGTCTGACTAAATATTCGTGTGCTGCTGATATGCAGGCTTGTTACTATTATGAAGGTACAAGCTGAGATAGGTGTCTATTTAATGTGGTTAATATATCTGCTTGAACAAGTGATACAACGTATGGGCCGACAGATGCAGGTGACTTCGACGACTGTGATTGTCTAGGGTTTTTTGTGCGCCACAGCGCGGTGGAGAACAGGTCCAGTTTGTGAAGTACTTGATGGTAGCTTTCAGCTGTAGCTTTTGGCAGAAATCCTATGAAACATGTGCCTCTAGTTCCATTGCAGCGGAGGCCACAAAGAAAGCAGAGCCACTAAATATAGCGAGTGTATGTGGCTAGTTGGCCAGAGCACGGAAACCAGGAGACTCTACTTCCAGTGGAAGTTTGCGAGGAAAGGCCACGTCAGCTTCTCTGGCTTGGCGAACGGACTGAAGGCAAAGCCGCACGGGTGCTAACCTGGCCAGTCTCGACCGAAGCCAAAAAAACTGGGCGAACACGGACATACAACAGTAGGGATTCGCATGTGGTCACCCACCATACTACTAACCTACCGGCGTGTGGCTTAAACGCGGATAGAAGTAGGGTGGGTGCCGCCGGGTGAGCCGCTCACCCCTCGGGGGTGATCAAGTCGCGCGGGCCGGCGCCAGATCGCTGGGTGCGCAATAGATGGGTGAGTCGCTCACCTGGAGGGGTGAGCAAGTCGCGCGGGAGGGGTGAGCCGCTCACCCCATCACTCTAGCGGGAAGCCTTTGGATCCGCTTTATGACACTTTGATTGACCATTGGCTGTGTGTTCCGCCACCTCGATACACCACCGCCCTTGGCGGCCCGGTAGAGCCACACACACTGCGAGAAATGACTGATGCCTAAAACCCCTCGCCGATTATTGCCTTCGATGATTGCCTGGATGGATAAGGCGCTTTTGGTCATCTTCTGTTGGAAGGGGGCTGTGTGCAACGTTGAACGAGAAACGACTGACTAAAAGCTTGCTTGTGGCTATTAACGTAATTCCCGGTCGTTCCGCCCACCCCGGTCGATCCGCCCGCCCATCCAAAATTCCACGCGTTAAAATATTGAAGTTATTCAAACAGCAACCATGCCACCAAAACCGCGTCAATCTCGTCAAAGCTTGGTAGAGCAAGAGGGCAGGATACAACTCGTGATACAAGCTTTAAAAAAGCGCGAAATTCCAAGTGCTCGTCAAGCAGCAGAGGTTTTTAATATGCCACGTTCAACACTCCAGGATCGCCTCAAGGGACATGAATTTCAACTAGAACTTCGCAACCATACATTCTGACTCTCTAAAACTCAGGAAGAGGCATTAGTGGATTAGATATTATCTAGAGATCAATGAGGAGTCGCTCCTAGGGTCTCGCATGTATAGTAAATGGCATATCTTCTTCTCTAAGTAGAATCAACAACCCCCCCCCCAAGCCACTTGAGAAGAACTGGGTTACTACCTTTATTTAGCGCCATGAAAGCATTAAAAGTTGATTCACACGCAAGTATAACTACTAGCGCGCCCTCTACGAGGATCCTAAGGTTATAAAGTAGTGGTTTAAGACTTTAGAGGCCTTGCGCAAGGAGAACGGCATATAGGATAAAGATATCTACAACTTTAATGAAACTAGCTTCGCTATGGGCCTAATTACAACCTCGCGGGTTATTATAAGGGCTGAGATGCTTGGGAAGCCTCACCTTATTTAGCTAGGCCAGCGCGAATGGGTCACCGCGATTAAATATATTAGGTTAAAGGGATATATTATTCCACTAACCATAATCTTTAAAGGTAAGGTCTATATTAAAGGATGGTTCAAAGAACTAGGTCTCCTAGGTAACTAGAGGCTTAAATTAAGCGTGAATAGATGGACTACTGACTAGATAACCCTCTAGTAGCTTTAAAAGTGCTTTATTCCTTATATAACTAGGCGTATAACTGGAAGTCATCGACTGCTTGTTCTAGATGGTCATAGGAGTTATTTAACTCCTTAATTTAACAAGGCTTGTAGAGATAATAAGATTATCTATGTCTATATGCCTGCGTATTCATCGCACCTGCTTCAACCGCTAGATGTTAGTTACTTTAGGCCATTAAAGCGAGCTTATGGGGGCCTAGTTAAAGCGAAGATGCGCCTAGGTTTCTACTATATTAACAAGCATGACTTCCTACAGGCCTATCCTAAAGCTCGCGATAAGGTCTTTACTATTCAGAACACCTAGAGTGGCTTTCGCGCGACTAGGATACTACCTTATGATCCTAAAGAGGTCCTAAAGCGATTTAATTATTTAATATCGACCCCTACCCCCCCTAAAGTCGCGGAGCTTCAATATCGTCCTCTACGCTTGCTACGCCTCATATAGTTTAATAGCTACATAAGAAAGCTTCTTCTATTAAAAAGATGCTTGCTAGGCAGTCCCAAAGTCCTACTAGTCCTTCTAAACATGCTTTAGATAAGCTTATAAAGGGTTGCGAGCTAGCTATCTACAATGCTGTATTTACGCTAAAGGAATTGAATGATCTCCGCGCAGAAAGTCAAGTTCAAGCGCTTAAAAAGAGTTGATCAAAGTGCTATATGGCCCCTGTACAAGGCCTCCAAGTGCAAGAAGCAAGGGACCTTATTTTATTAAGAAATGAGCAATTGAATCAGGAAGATGGTGGTAGTGAGGAAGCTAATCAAACTACTCCACCAACTTTAGAACCCTGAAAGCGTGCCCCACCGACCTGTTCTGAATGTAATATTCAGGGGCATACTAGAACTAGATGTCCTAATCGTTGCGCGACTTAGTTTGCTGTATTTAATTAAGAATTAGGTTGTTGGGAATAGCTTCAAGTTCGATAGGTGTAAATATATACTTGGGGGCGGGCGGATCGACCGGGGTGGGCGGAACGACCGGGAATTACGTTAGCAGGCGGTTATTATTCTTGAATGAATGATTCGCAGCAAAGTCTTTGATCTTTTTGTTGATCCCATTCATGTCGCTCTACCCAACTTCTGAGGGCAATCCATATCCGTGCCTTTCTGCTGACGAAGATGGTGGGTGCGCTGGAAGGCACGGATAGGGGTGGAGCCGAGCCACTTCTCTAGCCACTATGGCTGGTGAGCCACTATCCCATTACTTTTTACCATTTCTTCTCCAGCGTCTTTCATCTGCTCCCTTACAGAGAAGATCCATCTCAAAGAGCCTGAAATTTCTTGTTCTTCTTCTCTTGCAGCTTAAGGCCATTCATTAGTAGGCGATTGCCTTCCACGAGGTTCGAGTACTGTTAAGCAAACTACAACAAGCCTGCAGCTCAGCATTGTCCACTTGTCGTGGATAACAGAAGAGCCTAGACACCATATGCAAATGTACTCCGAATACAATGCATACTTCTATTCCATCCTAGCAAGAAGCCCATCCGTCCGCTTAGAGAACCGACTGTACGTGTCCTCAAAAGTCTCATCCTCGCCAACGCACACCCTATAGGTGATCCTAGCATAGTCCTCTGCTTGACTTGCTAATTCAGGGGCTACATCGCAATACGCTCTGCAAAGAATCCCGATGATGACTCGAAAATATATAGCTGACCAGATTGCTGGATTCGAACAGCCACAATGACATCAGATTGAAACTCCAAATTAAACAACCAGAAGAAGCCAACCGATGGAGAAATCCATCGCAAGATCCGGCAGTATGAAGGTGAGGGCAATGAAGCTTTTTGGGAGCGTTGGTTCATCCGCCTGTCACCCAGCAATCCGGTCCGTCTGGATCAGCTGGATAATAGACGAAACCGTCGCCTGCGACGGGCCTTTAATTGGTTACTGTCGATTCCTGGCCTTTGGCCAAACGGGATGCGAATCAGCATGCTTCACCGGCTGATCGCCAGGGGATGTATTAAAGTGAGTTGATATCTCAACCTTTTCCTTGCTGATTACCACTATATAGGAGAATGTCACCTATTTGACCATATTGAAGACTTCTGGACTTCCGTAGTTGCCTTGGATCGCGGTAGCATGAAGAAGATTGATTCAGACACGGTTGACGCCCTGCAGTTGCTGGCGCCAGGTAAATCCCGAACGGACGCCGGAACGGCCCGTGGGCGGATCTTGGGTGGTCAGGCATTCGCAGAATTCAGTGACGAAGAACGAAGGGTCATCTGGAGTAGGTTCGAGAAGGTTGACAGGCTTGTTCCGTCTTTGCATACGTTTTTTTTTTGGAGATTTAAAGTATCTGGAAACCTGCGAGTCTGTGTGGAAGACCATGAGCTCAATGTATCAAAGCCAATAGAAAAATCGTTTTCGTCTTTCGTGTTTCAATTACCAGGACGAGCCATCACGTGGTTAGAGCCTAGATGGTGGAAATCGGAAAGTACGTTGGCGCTAACATAAGCGGCCATGAGGAATGACGCCGAAAAGGTCCCCACAACTGCTTAAGAGGGGATGTCTAAGCGTGAGCAGTTGTCCAATCAATACCCTGGTCAGCTGTCGTTCACGCTGTTTATCTTTCCTCCTGCGACTTTCCCTGCCCCTCTTCAGCGAGATGAACTTAATTCCCAAGGATACGAGTTGGAAATATGGACAACATCCTTCCCCTCAGCATACCCCACTACCAGCTCGAGGTCCCGTTCTTCGGCCACGATGTTTACGATAATCTCGGCTTCATCACCTACCCCAATCGTCGAGGCTGGGACCCCCGCCACCTCCGGGACGGAAATTACGGAGAGCGATCATCTATTGACGCAGCGTCGTTCGCTCAGGCATGGCTGTTCTTCGGCACAATAAGCGAAGTCACGGGGGTACCGGTACGAGGAACGGGCTTTATTGACGTTTCCGAGCCTGACGGCCGTCTGCTTGTCACAACTCAGCATCTACCGTTCTATCTTGAGATCTGGCGCGCGAAGGCAACGAGAGCTAGTAGCACTGCGAGACAGAAAAGAGAAACGCGCGAGCAAGCAAAGATGTGTCTCGATTTCCTGATAACGTGGATACCACCTGTTCTCCTCGTCCCGGAGCACCCCGAGGTCGCCGTTTCCATAGAGATCCTCCTTGTCACGCTCGTCAACTCGTTCAAGGAAATCTACGGCCTCGAAACGTGGGAGGTCCCGTCAGCTATTACAGAAAATAAAGAAGAGCGTGTTCCCCTGCCTGGCAACAATCAGGGAATTCATAAGTACCTCAAGGCTCGCATGGTGGCTCAAGGCTGGTGTCCATATCGGCTTGAGAGTTTTGCTTATGGCCTTCCTAACGATGCCCTATATACACTGAGTTTAATGGGTACGAGTGATCTGCGCAGCGGCCACGACAACTGTAATGAAGATGTTTGCGTGGGAAACTATGTTGATGACAAGACGTATAATGAGACGCCGCGACATGCGAGAGAGGGCTGTAAGTGCGGTTTTGTGAGGGCGGATGTCGAGAAGGCGATAAGTATCATTGAGCAAGGGCAGATACCTATTGCGACGGTCAACATAGATTCAGAGAAACAAGTGTGTCTGGAAATAACCCCGTACAAGCCAGGGATGATATATATTGCCATTTCCCATGTGTAAGTTGCCTTCCGGGTAGACTGCCGAACATTTACGTGAACATGGTACTGACAGCGCAGGTGGGCCCATGGCCTCGGTAACCCGGATGAAAACGCTCTCCGAAGCTGCCAGCTCCTGGAACTCGACAAACTCCTCAAGCGTACGCACGAAGACCAAAACATAAGAGATACAAGCACAGATATTAAGACTATATACTTTTGGATCGACACACTCTGCCTCCCTGTCCGCCCCCCGCACTGCCGAAAAGCAGGCATCAAGCAAATGCGCAGCTGCTATGAAGCTGCAGCTGCAGTCCTGGTCTTGGACAAGCACCTCCGCCGCTGCACAATCTACAGCCCCACTGTAACCACCGAACTACTCCTCCAGATCGCGATTTCGGACTGGCGGTTTCGCGTCTGGACCCTTCAGGAAGCCATCTTCGCAAAGAATCTGATCTTCCAGTTCCTTGACGGGCCAGTCGACGCCGAGGAGCTGATTATCGCACACTATTCCAGTCCTGCCTGTGATAATTTTACCCATATCAACATGTTCCTCCAAACGAATATACTCGTCGCTTTGGGTTTGGATCCGTTAGCCGAGAGCAAGAAGTTGCGCGTACAACATTACTCGCTATTGACTCTCTTTTTATCCTTACAGGGCCGCGCAACCAGTAAGCAAGAAGACGAGCCGGTTTGTTCGGCGAGTCTCCTGGGGCAGGACAACGTTCTTGACGCAGTGCTGGAGTGCCGGACGGAGGACCGGATGAAAGAATTTTGGCGCACGCAGGGTTCCATTCCAGCGTGGGTGCCATTCCTTGATGGTCCCAAGATAGAAGAGACGGGGTATAGGTGGGCGCCGTCGACACTTAGGAGTCAGCTTCGGTCGTTGACAGGGACGCCGATTCTACCGGATTATTTTTTTGAATCGACAGAGTCGGCAACCGGATCCAAGATTCGGGCGTTGCTAAATAATGCGGATGTACCTCAAGAGCTCGCAGAATTTGTTCCTGGCGGCCCATGGCTAAGGATTACCAAGCCCGGATTTCTCTTGCTGAAGCAGAGAGAAGATAACAGTACTTTAGTGGGGCCGATGGACGACGCGTTCAGGATCACGGACGATCGGGGACATAGGTACAATGTGGTGAGGTCAATAGGTAACTTCAATCCGGAATTGCCTGCCTTGGGAGGAGATATCGCTATCATTGTTTCGAGTTTTCCGAAGTTTTATCACCCTCAGGTTCTTGTTGTTTCAGTCATAAAGCAGGGTCTGGATCAGGGTCAGGAGTCCGATTGCATTCGTTGCAGGGTTCGTTGCAGGGGAACCCTCATAGTCGGGGAGACATTTCCTGGGTGGCTGTCTACGACTGATTCTACCATTTCATACAGCGCAAGGAGAATGGGGGAGGACCAGACTTGGTTACTCGAATAAGTCTACACAACTTCGTTATATTCATCACAAGGCTGGCCCCTGCTATTCATAGTTTTTTGCGAGGTCCAAGGAGGTAAATATCCTAACATAATAGTGCCTGACAGGTCATAAAATAGGATTTCATAACTGTAGCAGCGTCTGGTGGGGGACGTTCATAACACGTTTTCCCACTTCGTCGTAGTAATGGGTATTCATGAATTTTGGCACTCTTTGCCGCGATGCCCAGTTTTCCCTATCCCGTAATAAGATGATTGTCTCTTCCCTATGCAGATGTTCAGCGTTCACTGCTTTCGCAGTCGATGCTAGACCTGGAAAATTCAAGAAATATCCCAAGCGGACTTGTACTCCCCAACGCTGTTTCGCAACTGTCACTTTCCACGTGCTGCAAAATACCGCTCATGTAAGTGAATGGTGTTTGGCAAGATGGGCATTTGAAGTCGAAGTTCGCATTCGAAGACTTATACCACTGTGCTTGGTAGCACTCAAAAGCTAGCTGGTTTATCTTGTCGAGATCGACGCCCGAATCGCATGTCCCAGCTTCGAGGTGCAACATCATTGCGGAATTCGTGGGAAACTGACGCGAGTAGCCAGGATAGCCAATGTTCCTTTTAGCATGAGAAATCTTGTGCTATGAGATATGTTTAGCTTCTCGTCACTAGTTATTGAATGATAAACGAACACTCTTTAAATTAGATGGGTTATTAAAATACCAACAACACGACGCACATATATTATGCTTATCTATGTCGTGCTAGAAAAGCTGGCGAGGTCTACTGAACTGGCGATTACAAGTCGTGCATATATTATGATCATCTTCAAGATGTTCGTTGAGATCTTTTTCAGTTAGATAATCCAATGGGGAGGGGCAGAAACGGTAGATATAGTGATTAAGTGAGTCTGATATATGCTGCTGCTTGGCATGAGCCGTACTAAAGCCTTTCTGGTAATGTGTACAGATGTGTTTCCGTTGCTACATCACTTAGATAATGACTCAGCGTTAAGAACAGTTTCTTGATCTTGAGAAATCCGAAGCATTTTGAATTAAAATTATGTGGAAGTGCCTTAGCTGGGGGGGTACGGCACGGATCAACTACTTCCCTAACACTACTGACCCCTGCATCATTGCTGCCCAAGATTCACAATCCGAGGCAGGCGGGTTTTAGTCAGCTATTGTGATACCTAATTAACCACCGCCTGTGGGTGGAAACGTAATATATATTTTATCACATAGAACACCGCAACTATCTTGGCTTGGGTCACATATCATACAACCCTTAGTTATTCATATTAAGTACGGTCTTGTTCATGCCTCCTTAAGTAATTTCAGCGCGTCATCCCTTGTATTGCTTTCTTCAGCCTCATTAGAGGAATCAGATTCGTCCCTAACGAAAGCCCCATATTCTTTAGTCTCACTACAGATGCAAGAATTCGTAGAGAACGGTATAGACGACGCCTGAATCTCGAACAAGGAATCCTGTAGCGTTATCATTTTGAATGCCTCGCCACGAGCCTCGTACTTGTTATTGTGCGCCTTAAAAGCAGGCAAGATGATTTGCTCATACTATGGGCCAAACTAGACTAAAGAGGCCTAGTCCTAGTTTCCGACAAACTCCTCTTCTATGACCTCCCATAGATAAATGTGGTGATTCTTATAGTATTCATTCGCTTTGCGGTAAGGATCAGGAACTCTGTAGTGACTTATTTCAATCTCCATATTAAGCATGGGAAGGCCTTTCTGGAACCAAACATTCGGATTTATTACTATGATTATTTAATAGCGGTTTCTCCTCTCTTCTCTGTCGTTGGAAATATCTTGCAGCTGTTGCGGCGATTGGGTGAACGAAATAAATAGAGTAGGTTCCCATCTTCGGTGGTTTGGGTGTATAGACAGGAACGTCTTTCTAGTTTTCAGGGTATCCAGTTGCTCACGAGGCGACCTTGATAACATTCTGCGAGTTTCGCTAGGTTGACTACCAGATTTCTCGTCCCAAGTTCGTAGCAGCGGTAAGTTAGGGTTAGTGGAAAAGACAGAACCCCATAGATGCACATTTTCTTCCATATGAAATGGGAACCCTAGGAGGCTCATCACGGTAGCCCGAGTAAGGGGCGTATTATCAGCCATCCTAGATCTGGACCGTCTTTAGAGGATATTCGCAGCTTTGCTTTCTATATCTTCTGCGCTGGATGTGGGCCCTAGCTGCGAAGTTTATTAGGTGGGGTGGTGGGGATTCTCCAGAATCTGATAGCGGGGCATGTTCAGGCTTTGTACGGAGCGGAAGATCCTTCCTCCATGAGGCGGACGAGACTATTTTCCGCCAAAGAACTCTTGCAACGCTTGAACGGCGTGAGGCGACCGGCAGAGTCATTTATCAAGATCCAAACGAAAGTACTCCGGACTAGTCAGCTACGACTAAAAGCGACGTCTCTATAGGGGATTAGAGAAACAAAGTTTGACTCGGACGCGTTTCTATTACTTCTGAGACCTCCAAGAAACTATTCTAGCGGAGATACTTTATATATTAACTTTCAAGATCATTTATGACGCAACAAATCCTTAACTCTTTATGAAAGAACTGATATGGTTGTTTCATGGTGGTTGGCGTTGGCCAATCAAAGAGGGAATTAAAACTGCTTTTTAAAATTAGTCTAGGATAAGGTATAAATTGCCCGCATGTCCTTGTTAAGTATCTTACAATCAGACCTGTAGCCCTTGTCTTTCCAGCCCACAGCCTGGCATGCCTGACGTTTGTTAGAAGGGAAAATAGTTCTATTTAGGGATCTCACCTTATCATAGTACTAGAAGAAAGAACATTTGCTATATTTACGAGAATTGGGCGTTCTTTACCCGCATTTATGACATAATCTTTGCCCGTCTATCTTTAGGAAATTTGTCTGAATGCTGTCATTTAGTCTGAGGATATTACTAAGGGCGAAAGGAAAGACCTAATTGATTTTAGCATCTCTACATGAATCTGGTGAGTAGAATTTACCTGAATGGTGTCGACCTCTTCTTGACGAATGCTAGTCAAGAGGTCTATAAATGCATGCTAATGTGCGTACAAGATGGCAATGGTACTACCAGGCTAGATATTAGAGATTAACTACTCCATTCCTTAGTCGTCTGTATAGAAATAGATGGAAACTTCCTAACCTGCCACGTCTCTAATAAGAAGGATTAGGCGTAAAAAGTAGCTAACCTCTACTACTTCAGCGAAAAAGCACCAATGCTTTCGTGGAATATATTAGAAACCATTGCCGCTAGCGTAATAATCTAGGTCGATACTATTCTCGTCTAGTAGACTATTAAAAGCTGGGAAATATGTCTAGTCCCTCAAATTTGTGATCGTTATCCTATTTTGTGTAGTAGATCTCCGCTAAAGCTAATCTTTAAGCTCTTGATTAGGTAGTTCCCGGGGCATGGCATTCACGTCACTTTTCCATCTCATTGACATCCCGTAAAGTGAATGAGTGTTGGGGTCGCGTTTAAGGTTGCTTAGCTAGATAGTGGTTAGGCTATCTTCACCCTCGAGAATAATTCTTATAGTATATACCCTTTTTACAAAGATCCTTACTCGTGCTTAATCGCTATTGGTGATTGCAATCTGGAAAGTATTATAGTATAGTCAAGGTACTCTTACATCTACGATGCTCTCTTACTAGAGGAGTTGGCTTAGCATATAGGCGTCGTTCAAACACGCTTTGGGGGAATCGAGAATGCGGTCTAAATCCCTAATCAAGTCGTCTAGATGAGAAATTGTGGTAAGACGTTAATCGCTTTCCTGGCGTAATGTGGGCGGAAGAGAGCATAGTTCATACGAGTAAATAAAATCAAATAAGTCTTTTAATACCTTTTGTCTGGTAGCGCGATCCTAGCTATCGTTTAAATATATAATTATTATCTCCTCCCCTTCCTTAACATCCTTGAAGACATGGACTGTGAGCTTCTTTGTGGTTTCATTCCATGTTTTTTGTGCATTATAGCGGCACGAGTGATTGATGCGGGATGATTATAGAAAGATTCCACCCTCTACTGCGGATAAGCCTAATAGAAGTGTATTAGTTTTGACAATCCCTATTATTTTGCCGTATTTCCCGGGGTGGGCGTTGAAGAGTTTGAAGAACGACTATCATTAATCATGGTCTAGCTTTCCGAGCTGCTCATTGACAAGGCGGTCTATGTCTTCTAGACTGGTTGACTGTCGTGGTATTATTATCAGTGGATGCTCAGCGAGGATGCGTGTCCCTTTTCAGATTTTCGAGGTGGCCACAACCGCTTGACCTTTGCCTGGGATGTCCTGAACAGCGTAGAGATTTGCTTGGGCCATGGCCTTTGGTGGAAGAGTTTCAAAAATCTTGAAGCATATGAAAACTGTCAACTTCTATGAGCTCAGGATTCATACCAGGAAAAGTTAGTTGGGTCATCAGGTTGCCAACACATAAATGCACTTGGGCTGCGCAAACTCAGACAGCTACTGAAGTAAGGTAAAGCTCAGTGCTCTTATCAAATGCAAATCATAGGATCTCTGGCCGTGTTCTCTCGTGAGCTGTATCGCCCAGCCAAGGCGGAGAACCCAGGCACGCTTCCGTCACGCATGCTGGCATAGATTGATAGGCTGTTCTGGAAAGTTTTCTTTGGTTCTCCATCAAAGTGCTGGGGTTAGGCAGATGCAAGAGGTCTCAACCTCATGATGCTCTGAGTCAGACTTGCATTCCACTGTGTCTGTATTTTGTTTGGCAGCGCCCACAATAAAGGAGACCGATTTCAATTTATGCGTCTCTGATTGGTTTAGAGTACAGCTAGCACCCCGCTTCAGCGCTTCAACCTATCAGCGCCACCGATGATCACTTGCCCAGTACACGAATCAGAGCCGCGGTGGGCACAGGGTACGTACCTGGGCTAACCCTCATGGTGGCAAGGATATTGTTGTTGACGAGGACATCGTCGTCTAGGTGCAGTTTGGCATGGACCATATCCCACGCATTGAAGACTTCCCAGTCATGCCAGTGGAGATCATCAAGGTACATTTGCGGCCTGCCAATTTCTTCACTAAGAATCCAGCGCTAGATGTGCCTCCTTCTTCACAGGATATTAATAAGAGTTCTTTAGTATCCATTTGTCATCGGGTTAAGGAGAAGATAAAGTTTTGATCTTACATCTATATTACTCCCGTAGTGAGGAAGAGAAAAATACAATTTTTCAACTCACATGATATATGTATCAGTATATATCAACTTATGAATAGGCCTATGAATTCCAGTTTAACCTGTGAAGAGGCCGGGGTTCTCTATTACCCCGTGTTATAGTGTCTCTCCATAGAGACAGTTGTGGTGGTAAATGTGGTACTAGCAACGGGAATTAAACCTATCACCTCTAAAGAAGCAGGTGAGACCAATCTCAGGTGAAGGACTATACGTATGGATGGACATGCAGGACTTACTACCTACCTAAAGGGTATAAAAAACATACAACAGCATGTATATGGCACTGCTCACCCACCGCCGCTGCTGGCCTGTGGCTGCTTTGCCGCCCACGTTCCAGCGCCTTCAGGGGCCGATTCAGGCGCCTGAATAACCCGTACCCAGACTAACTTAAGATGCATTGTCACAAATGCGCAAAATGGCATATATGGGTGAGCTCTCTCTGTAAAAAAAATGGACGGTCGCACTTTTGCTAGACTTCTTCCATCTCTCTTTTTCTTGCACGCCCAAGGTTAGCTAGACAGAATGCCACAACAGCGAGAACCAAAGGTCAAACCTGTGATCAATCTTGACACCCATAGCAATAAGGAGCTCAAGCGGGCAGTCCTTCCTCGAACAATCAAGGGATACGACAGGACTTTAAAGCTTTTTGATGAGTAAGTACCATTGCAGTAGCATCAGGGGCGCGACTAACTCTTGGACTAGATTTCTTGACCTGCATCCTGCCGCCTGCTTCCCGCTTGATATTAGAACATACAAAGGTTTCTTGGAATATTATGCAAGGATAACACGGGGCCGTATTAAGGAAAAGCCCGTACCAGAAACTGTCGAGCATTTTCGGCGGAACTTCGAGGCTGCTTTGGCTCGGTCAAGAGATTTTATTGTCCCTGAGAGCATGTCTATCACTCTAAGAGAAGTAAAGTAACTCGTTCTCATCTGAATTTAGTTACTAACCAGGCTTAAAGTTTATTATCTCTGACTTGACGCACCTGGTTGGCCTTCCAGATGCTGAGATGTCTAGAGACGGGCTCTCTCCAAATGATCTGACTATTCTGCTAAGTCAGCTTTGGTGTCGAGACTTCAAGGAATACCGCGGTTGCTACCCTGATCGTACAAGGGTACAGTACACCGCGGCAATACTTCTCTATTGTTTCACATCAGCTCGAGCCGGCGAGGTGCATGAATCTACAGCCCGGCGCTCTACCAGCCGCCACAAGGTCCCGCGAGGCGAGGACGGCGGCGATGACTCTGACCTCCAGGCAAAGACTATGGCAGCATGCTACAAGGTTAAGATTCAGTGATCTGCACCCACTGGACATATTTCGGCTAACATCGCAAAGCACTTTACTCTTACGATAGAATTGGTCGATGGGATACCAATGTTGGTCTTGACCTACGAGCGAAAGTTCGTCAAAGGATACTGGAGGATGAGAAACTGGGAACGCCCAGTTCATGCTTTCTACGAGGTATATAAGGAGGATGTGCCCCTCTTTTTCAACCTTATTTTGTTCATGCTTCCGTTATTTTCCGCCGACCAAGCTTTCAGCGACTACGGCTCCTATACGGAGATCCTGGAAGAACTGGAGACCATCAAGCGTATTAACTTTGAAGGGCGAAGCAATGCTGTTATCTCAACCATTCATTTTCGAAAAGATCTCCTTGATACGCCTGTTTTCAGGCCATCAAGCGAGCTAAACTGCGAATCCTCCACTGGGAAAGCGATAGGCGCCGATTCGTTTGGCAAAGAATTCGCTGCGCTAGGGCATAGAAGCGGATATGCGGAGAATGTTACTACTCGCGCTTGCCGCCGATGGGCGCTCATGGAGACCGGTAAGGATGTTTTCACATTTCATTACGCAGGACACTCACGCGCTACAGATAAGAAATATTCCCAGACTGCCCGAATGAAGCATGCATCTCACACTGAAGCAAGAACGTTTGGCCGGTCATACGCGCACCCTGTGTGCGAAGTAGACGGTCCAGCAGCGTACTTGAATATTGCGACTCGCCATGAGCATATTCAAAATCGGCGCAGCATGGGCATACATCATAATCCAAACCTATGGCAGTCGCTACCCGCCAAATCAGAATTTGAATTTGAGGAACGAGAGGATGTCTGTCGTCTCAATGAAGAACTCGCGCGACTTGATTCTCAGATGCTGGACGCTGTGAGCCCAGATATGAAAAAGGATATCATATCACAACGACGAAAAGTTCGAACAGAAAAGGACAAAATTTATCTCAGTGAACTCAAGAGGCAGCGTGAGCTCCAGTCTGGCACACAAGCAGGGAGTATCCACGAACAAACCCTCTTTCATTTCCGCCGACGTGCTATGCCGCAGCGTGACTTGCTTGCTCGTATCCTGCCAAAGAAGGCAACAGTGCGGAGTATAGAAGGGCTAGAAGCCATGAAGGCGCTCGAGGCACTTTGCAAGCAAAGTAATCAGGTTGCATACCGGTCAGGTCTGGAACCGCTCAGCGGGAAGTGCATTTGTGGCAAGCCAATCGAAAGGTATGTGTCTTTTTTTTTCCTTCTGTATGCTATAATCGCTAACCTACTAGCTTCCGTGCTCACCGCCGATGGCTACACATCTATCGTTGTTATTCTAGACGCATCTCCCGATTAAACGATGATAAATTTGCTGAGTTTTGCTTCGAATGTGGGCAGTGGTTCAATGATCGAAAAGATTGGGATCGACACTGTCAAAGCCACCTTGATGATCCGGATCAGCTACTCCGCTGCGATCCAATAATATTCCGCAATTGCCCTGTCAAGCCTGGTTACTGCCCATTTTGCCTCGGGAATAGGCGCTTAGGGCCAGCTCAAAGGATGAAGCAATACCTGAACACAACTCAATGGTATCGCCATCTCGGTTCTCACCTGACCGACGACTTTCTATCTGGCAGCTTCCAATGTCGGCACCCGGCATGTACAGAGAAATATTGGAGTATGAAGGATCTGGTATGCCACCTAGAGGATGTCCACTGTTGTGCTCCTCGTCGAGGGCAAAAGAGATCGTTTGAGGAGATGAGTGGTGTTGAGGAGGAGATTTGAGAAGATATTAACATATGTGGGAACTATGGTCAACTATTTCTCTGATATGAACGCACAAAAGACTACAAAATTTCAATTCAAAGCAACCACTCGAGCCCATTATCCCATTCTGCCCCCGGAACAATCCGTAAGTTTGTAACCCCAAAGGTTAAACCACATCAGACCCTCTGGTCTACTGAAGCCGCTTTGCTCCTCCGCCATCTCAGACCTCTCCAAGTCCCAGTAATAGTCCACAGTATCAAATTCACTAAGTCCACCCACACTGCCCTGTGCATTGCTGTAAGGTGCGACTCATGACTTCCTCCGCCACTGACCTCAACGCCGATGTACAGCTTTCCGAAAATTCCGAAAACGACTAACCAGAGAATCACGATCGTTATCTCCCATAAGAACAATGGCAAGGACCATCCTGCTTTGCATTCGATCGACGGCTTTGAGCGCAGTTTGTACCACCAGTTCAGTGTCAAGTATAATGCTCCTGTAGCAAGTGAAATGTACCCAGTAACGACCGCATACACCCATCTTGCTCGGGATGGCGCAAATTCACTATGGCCCTTGTTGAGATCTTGAGTATATAAGGAAACCACAGCCAGACTAAATGCAAGCTGTATGTAACGGATAATCTTCTCGATATATGTTTTGACTGTCGGTTTGAGCATCGTAGCAGATTGTGTAAAAGAATTAACTTGTGGTCTGTCTCTACCCTCTTGAGTAGGAATATAAGAAATAAAGCAGGAGAAATAAATGGATAGAGCTTGTATAAATAGTAGACCGAACCCAAGTCTCAGAAGGAAAAGTTAGGAATGTCAAAATACTATAATTCTACAATGTTACAATTAACAGATTCTACAAGATGCGCAAAAGTTCAAGCCTGACAGTGGTCAGCTAGAAGCTGCCGCCCCTATGGCGCTAAATTTGTGAACAGAAGGATAGGATAGAATTGATAGCTTATACTACTTTACTGTTATAAACAGGACGAAAAAAAAGGCAGATAAACAACAAAGTACTTAGAACCAATGTACGAAGTCATGGTGTCCGGCTCTTGGAGTAGAACATATCACTGGTTTCCCCTAGCACGACCTGAGATGCCCCGACGGGGCCTGTTCCGACCACGATCATCGTTCAATACACCAAGAAGCTGTGCCTCACGTTTGGGCGGGGTATACCTGGTGCCTGTTTGTATCTGCAGGGCTGGCCGGGATGTCGTGTTGTTGACGTTCTGGTTATTTGGATTCCGCTTTAGACTGTTGTTGACCTTGGAAGCTGGCGGATTGAAGGATACCTGGCTATCTATACTCGAAAGTTGAAATGGGTCCTCCATGGTTCTTGACAGCTTCCTTTTCATATCTAGCGGGTCTGAATTCTCCGAACGTTTCGAGTAAGATTTGCAAGTCTGCGAATCCATATCTTTGAGATCAGAAGCCAACACCTCCCGGTAGATAGGTCGTTCCCCGGTAAGCTTTTCCCTGTATTCTGCGTCCTGTAAAGTCGCTAATTGATACAGCAGGAGATCGACTTGAAGACTTGTCAGCTCGTACATGATATCGTGGAAGTCTTCGCGAGTTTCCCAAGTCCAGACTCCATCATACCACTGGACCCATACGTAAGCCTCTGGATACGATGATGTTGTCCCAGGGTGTAGAGACAAAGTAGGATCTAGCTCATGCTTGCCGCAAACTCTCCAGGCGACCAGCCCCACTCCATCAATGACTTTGGAATCATATGTCACGCCATCAACTTGCCTATGAGCACGGGAATTCAATTCAATGCTCATACTATCATCAAGGTGTGCGGGTAGATAAGTGGATCGCATCACACGCGCAATTTTTTTCCCTTGACACTGGCTCCCGATGATAAGGGAATATCCAGATCGTTCATCTCCTGACCAACCCAGGATCGGGCCTGGCATGAATGGAATCCCATGGGTTTTATCGGCCTAATGACGTATAATATCCAAAGGGATTGCGATCTGCCAATCCATGAGATCTTCGTCGAAGAGTTCATCCAAGTCCGAGAGTTCTGATTCTTCAGTAGAACTAGAAGAATCCTGCGTACTCTCTATATTAGAGACATTGTCATCCGCTAATGCGGCACAATACTCTCTGAACTGATCCAACTCAATGTTCCATGTCTTTGGCCACTTGGCCAGAGATATAGCCTCTTACAAGTCTGTCTGCGTTTGCAGAAACAGCTTTTCATCTGGTCCTTTGTCGCTTTTGGCCGCTTCTTGGATCTGATTCCTCAGTAGAGGGAGCAAATCAACGTCAATTAGGCCTTCATTCTGTTGACGATTGGAGTGGCTGTTTTTCCTTCGAATCTGTGTGTTGAGGGCCTTCAATTGCTTCAATAGAGCGTCGGTTGGCTCGTCCGGAAGACCCCAGAGAAGCGACGCGATTAGCGGTGTTGCGGTCTCGTATTCTTCCTCGTAGAGTGCCATTTTGCGTCCCGTGCGTAAGTCCAAATCTTCTCATCAGTCGAAATCTAGAGTGAGACGGCAATTTAAGGAAGTCCTTATTTATAATAAATGGTAGAAAGTTACATTTTCGTTTCTACAATCAAGCTTTGGCGCATTGTGACAAAGCCGCTCTGCCGCTAAGTGACCCAGGATTGGCTAGCTAATAGCCCCACTGCCAAGATCCTAGATGAATCCATTGTTGAGCTGCGCTATATAAGCAAGCGAGACGTGTTACTCCCCAAGTCATCTGTCTTAAAATACTTAGGCAGCATTCGGCTTCTTTCATAAATATCAGAAAGGATGTCTGTTGATTTATTCTGCATTGCATGCCACCAGCACCTGGACTCTTACCCAGCCAAAAACCATGTCCCATCAGCAGAAATCATTGTCTGTGCTGGCTGTACTAAACGAAGGCGATTTCAGCATCTCCTTCGTCGAAGGGAGGGGGTCATTGGAATGGCCGCGGCAATGACACTGATGCACCCATCCTATAATTTCAAAAAGTATGCATACATTGCCACGGACGAATGGCTGCAGCATAATAAAGTCATCTGTGACATGCTATGCCATCCAGTCCTTTCTCTTCTCAAGCAGAATGCCATAGGCCGTATCTTTCAAAGACTCCAGTGCAAAGTTCTGCATAGAGGTACAGAGGCACCCAAAATGTCCTTCGACCCTCAACATTGACGGAATGTTTTTCAAACCCTAACCTAAATTGACACTAATCCAAATCTGTCTAGTGCCCTAGAAAGTGGGTACTCAGGTGAAAAGAATGTTTTCGTATCGAACCTGTACCTGTGACCGAGGGCTTGGTATTGCATTCATCACGCTGAGGAGATTGGCCTCAACACCGCCTTCCTAGAACAGACATATCTTGACTTCCAATCTTAGACATTGTTGGCAATCCAATATGAAAGATATGGTATTGAGGACGGCGGATGAAAAATCCAATAATTAATTTGACCATCAGTAATACCCGAGTTCGCCTGCAGAGGCTGCGAAGTCGTCATATGATCGTTATCAACTTACTCCATCTAACGGCATGTGGGTCAACCATGTAATTGCCTTCTAGGGTCCGCGTCTGCGAACCAGCTTTGGCATGGTTAATAAAGCTGTCGCGAGAGCCTGAGGCTTCTAATTGTCTGTCTGCCACTGCTCAGCGTTGATTGGTACAGGGTATAGAAAATGTTCTGGAATTTCAGGGCGGGACGTTGGGCCCAGGCCCCAGTTTTACAGAGAGATCAGAAGATAAGGGAAGTTAGAAGAAGATGGTCGAGAAGCACCTGGGAACGCAGTATGTAGGGCAGGATGAGATTTATTAATTCAACCACAAAAATGTCAAGCCACCTGATCTATGGCCAAGAACCACGTTATTGCCACTGGTAACCGAACATGTCGCCCGAAAGTCAGGTGGAAGCCAGATCAAACGCTGTTCGTTGCTAGTCACCCATTTCTCACGTACGAATATCTCATTCTCTGGCCGTTTGACGGAGAAATTGCAAGCTTGCCGGTTTAAAGAAAGTGAACCGCGGTCAGTATTGAGGTAGCAGTTATCTGAGAATGACAAAGTAAATACCACTACGTCAAGAAGATGTTTATCCTTCTCGGCCCCAGAGGCCGCGTCCCAGAGCCGGATTGTCTTGTCATCGGAAGCGGACGCGACCGTCTGCCCGTCAGGTGAGAAGGCCACTGCGTTGACCGAGTCCTCATGGCCCCCGAGGATCTGCTTCTCGGCCCCGGACGCCGCGTCCCAGAGCCGGATTGTCTTGTCATCGGAAGCGGACGCCAC